GCTCTCTGCTGAGCAGGGAGCCCGATGTGGGGCTCAATCCCAGGATCCTGGGATCATGACCTGAGCCGAAGGCAGCCACTTAACCAAATGAGCCACCCAGGCGCCCCAGAATATGATCTATCTTGATAAATGTTCTGTGTACTCTGTTTTAAAGCTAATTTTTAAATTTTAATTCCAGTATGGTTAACATAAAGTGTTATATTAGTTTCAGGTGTACAGTATAGTGATTCAACAATTCTATACATTACTCAGGGCTCATCATGATAAGTGTACTCTTTAATCCCCATCACTCATGTACTCTTGAAAGAATGTACATTCTGCTCTTCTTGGATAAGGCACTTTATAAATGTCAATTAGTTCAAGCTGAAAATCAGTATTAATTCAAGACTTGTTCAAGTTTTCTCTACCTTGATGATTTTCTATGTACTCATTCTTTCAATTATTGAAAGTGTTGAAGTCTCTGCCTATAACTGTGGCTTTGTTTATTTCTGCATGCAGTTCTATCAGTTTTTATTTCACATATTTTGATGCTCTGTCATAGGCACATAAACATTTAGGATTTTATGTCTTCTTGATGAACTGACCAATATAGTATTATGAAATGATCCTCTGTGTAATATTGTTTACTATGAGATCATTTTGGCTAACATTAATATAGCCACTCCAGTTTCTTGTGATTAGTGTTAACACAGTTTATCTATCTCCATACTTTTTTTTTCTTTCTCCATACTTTTAACCCATTTGTGGATTTATATTTAATGTGAGTGTCTTGTGGGCAACAGATCATTGGATCTTGAGTTTTATTCCACTGATAATCTCTGCCCTGTAATAAGAATATTTAGACCATTCATATTTAATGTGATTAGGGCTGAATTTAAATCTACTATCTTGGTGTCTGTTTTCCATTTGTCCCATATGTTCTTTGTTCCCCTTTTCCTCTTTTTCTGCCTTCTTTTGGACTGCATACTTTTTTTTTAAGATTTTATTTGATTGATTGATTGATTGATTGGGTGGGGGGAGAGAGAGCGCAAGCATGCAAGCCGGGGGAGGGCCAGACGGAGAGGGAGGGAGACAATCTCAAGCAGACTCCACACTGAGCACAGAGCCCAACACCAGACTCAATCTCACGATCCTGAGATCATGACCTGAGCCAAAATCTAGAGTCAGATGCTTAACTGACTGAGTCATCCATGGGCCCCAAGACTGAGTTTTTATAATTTCATTTTTACTCTTTTGTTGGCTATTAACTATTACTCTGGAAGTTTTTTTCATGGTTGCTATAGTTTATATTCTATATTTTTCATTCATCACAATCTACCTGCAAGTGCTATCATTTCACTTCGTGTATGCTATACGAACATCAAAAGAGTGTACTTCTATTTCTCCTCTCTTGCCCTTTGTGCTATTGTGTTTTCATACATTTTACTTCTATATATGCTATAAACCCCATAATACAGTCATCCTTTTGCCTTAAGTAGCCAATTATCTTTTTAAAAAATTTTAAATAATAAAGAAAAAGTTTTTTTAAATTACCCACATATTTACATTTCTAGTGTTTTTTACTCATTTATGGAGATCCAGATCTTTATCTGGCATCATTTTACTTCTCCCCAAAGAATTTCCCATAACATTTCTTGTAATTAAAGTCTGCCAGTGATACATTCTTTCAGCTTTTGTGTGTCTAAAAAGTTTTGAAAGTTATTTTCAGCAAATAGAGAATTGACAGTTTTTTCCTTCAGTTCTTTAAAGGATTGTTTCACTGTCTTCTGGACAATGAGAATTTTGCTGTCATCCTCACCTCTGTTCCACTGCATTACAATGTGTCCTTTTTCTCTGGATGATTTCAAAATCTTTATCAATTATTTTGAGCAATTTGATTATACTGTGTGGTATAATTTTCTTCATGTTTCTTGTGCATAGTGGGTCATCAAACTTTGTGGATCTGAAGATTTATAGTTTCCAACAAATTTGAAAAACTTTTGGCCATTATTTCTTTATTTTTTCTAACTCTCCCTCCCTTCTTCTGGGAACTCCAATTACATGTATATTTAGTCCACTTGAGGTTGTCCCGATCTCATCAATGCTCTATTCATTTTGTTAGTCTACTTACTCTCTTTGCTTCATGTTGGATAGTTTTTATTACTATGTATTCAAACTTACTAACCTTTTCTTCTTCAATATCTAATCTGTCACTAATCCCATAAGTATATATTTTATCTCAGACATTATAGTTTTCATCTCTACGTTGATTTGTATCCTTTAATGTCCTCAATGCCTCTACTTAATACATTCAATCTTTTCTCTAGCTTCTTGAACATATGGAACTTCATTATAACTATATTTTTAAATCCTTGTCTACTAGTTCTGTGTCATTTTCCTGCCTCTGCTTATATGGTTAGTTTTGATTGGATTTCAGACATTATTAATTTTACCTTGCTGGATGCTATATATTTTTGTTTTTTTATAAATATTCTTGAGCTTTGTTCAGGTTCACATGTTATTTTAATGCTGTTAGGTAGAGCTAGGGAAGCTTTAATCTGGGGCTCATTTTGCTCCACTACTGAAGCAAACCAATGCTCCTTCTGAGTAATCTAACTGGTGCTCCATGAATTATGCAGCTTTCTACTCTGGAAGGAAAGGAACTGTAATAATCAGCTTGGGCTGTCATAACAAAATACCACAGAGTGGGTGCTTCAACAACAGAAATTTGTTTTCTTGCAGTTCTGTAGGCCAGAAAGTCCAAGATCAAGGTTCCGGCAGGGTTTTGTTTATGGTGAGAGCTCTCTTTCTGCCTTATAGACAGCCATCTTCTTGCTGTATCCTCAGATGGCAAAGAAAGGGTGCCAGTTCTATCAGATCAGGATTCCAAACTTATGACCTCATTTAACCTTAGTCACCTCCCTAAAGACCCTAGCTCCAATATAGCCACATGGGGTTTAGACTTCAACATTTGGATTTGGGGGATACACAATTCATTCTACAGTAGGAACTTATTTCCACACCTGTGTGAGCTCTGAAGACCATTCCTTCTAATCTTTTTAGGTGGTTCTTTCCCCAGTCTTAGGTAGTTTCCTCATACCCTTAAACTGGTCAGTACTCAGGTGAAGATTCTCTGCAGATCTCTAGAATTCTCTGCTTTCTTGTACTCTCTGTTGTGAAATCTACCTATCTTTTCCTCCCCAGTCTCCAATTCTGTCTTTCTCAACTCAGAGAGAACACTGCGCTCTGCCTGAGGTCTTCCTCCCTGCACCGCAGCTAGAAACTCTCTCAAGATAGTAAACTGGGACATGTGTAGAACTCAACTCATTTCTCAGTGATCCCTCTCCTTTGCTGCCTAATGCCCAAGATTGTGAAAACCCATTTATTTGTATGTGTGTATGTGTATATATATATATATATATATTTTTTTCCCCCTCCTTGTTATTTTAGTTGTTTCTGGAAGAAAGGTAATCCAACCTTGTTCCTCCATCTTGTCCAGAAGAAATTTGTACTGGGCACTTTTAATTCTGTCTCTGCCATGTTTTTCTCCTGCAACCATTAATTAGCCTTCAGACTTCCACTTAGATGCCATTTTATCTACAAAATCCTCCTAAACACCTCACAGCTCAGGTAGATGCTCCCTGGCTGTACTTTCCCCCTGCCAAGGCGTCCACCACATTGTTTTAAAATCACTGCTTCAGGGTGCCTGGGTGGCTCAGTTGGTTAAGCGACTGCCTTCGGCTCAGGTCATGATCCTGGAGTCCCGGGATCGAGTCCCGCATCGGGCTCCCTGCTCAGCAGGGAGTCTGTTTCTCCCTCTGACCCTCCTCCCTCTCATGCTCTCTGTCTCTCATTCTCTCTGTCTCAAATAAATAAATAAAATCTTAAAAAAATAAATAAATAAATAAAAATTAAAATAAATAAAATAAATAAAATCACTGCTTCAATTGTCCACATACCCCCTGCCATAATGCAGAAGTTGGAGCTGTGCAGGGTACACACAGCAGTACTCAATAAACCTACCTGGATTAATAAACAAATGAAAGAAACTTAAAGTGAAGAGACAGTAGCTGAAGCCACATTCACTGTATCAAAGAATTTGTTCTATAGCATCCATTTCATTAAAGATTATAAACTACCAGTTACAAATACGAAGTATTTAATATTTATAGTTGTAACATTAAAAACAACAATGAGATGGAATGGTATTTTCCCCACATGGTAGCAGTTATTGAAGGAAACAATCTGTTACTAACCACATACTTTGAAAATTCAAACCAATTTCAGAGATAAAGATTCCTTTAACATGTGTTCACTACCACCCAATTTCACCTTAATGTGGGTAACAAAATCAGAGGACCCAGTATAAACACTCCTTGAGAAACCGGGTCTAATTAACTTCCCTCCAGCATCAAATGTTTTAGTCCAATCATCCAATCTGGAATTAGCAAAAAAATATTTAATGTTACATCCTTCAGTTTTACCTCTTCCCCCATATTTTGAGAAGGCACATTTGAAAGGACTGATGGAATATAAAAAAAATAAAGGATAACAAAGGAAGATGAAATCCTGAAATGTTAAGTCCTAAGATGGAAACTTGATATTTGAAATGGTTGTCCTTGCCTGCCTGTGGGCTAGCTGCCTATAGTCCTGGAGCCTCGAGGACTGCTCCAGTCCCAGGTAACCTTCTAAGAAGAAGCCCAATGATTTGGTACATTCTAAACTGTACCTTTTATAAAGACATCAATAAGAATATGCTTTGACAGTTGCCCTACCTCCATTTCACGACACTGAGGGAACCCAGGAAGAGACTCCCGTAAAATACCAGAGTTGCATAAAAGGATGCTTCCAACATTAAGAATTAACTCAGGAGAAAATAATGAAAACTGAGGTCCCTCAGCCAAGCTTTAATTCTGATCAAATGAATTCAGTATTACTGTAGTGATTCTGAAATTGAGGAAGTCAGGCAACAAAATTCCAACATCTGGCCCATGAGAGAATTCTAGAAGGCCAGTACTTACGCTACATGGGTTGTTGGCCGTCTGAGCAGAGCTGTAGAAGGACCCCCATTGGGTGGCTCGCCTCTCATCCCGGGAAGGGGTGCTGTTCACAGGCAGGATGGCTGGGACCCCAGGGCCTGCGACCGCAGAACTGGCAGGCTGGCTGCTGGGGGCCACGAGAGCAAAAGCATCATCCAGGAGAGAGTGCATGGTCTGGCGTGCCTCCTCGATTGACGGTTGGGGCGGGATGTACTGGGAGGCTGGGAAGGGCAGGCCTGGATACCTCCCCAGCTCAGCAGAGGATGGGGTCTGCACATCGGCCGGGAGATCGGGATCGGACTACAGCAAGGCAAACAGCAAAGGGAACAAGGATCAGATGTGAGCTTCTGTGGTGATTCGAAAGCAAAACTACAGGGCCAAAATGGAATTTAACAATTTCCACTGACATTGAGGAAGAAGTTTACCATAAGAATTTTCTGAATAACAGCTATGGGATGGCAGTGGCAGGGGGAGCTTGAATTAGGATGAAAGAAAAAAGTGAAAATAGTCAACAATCATTTGGCCAGCAAAACTCAGCCAATTATCTGAAATGCAGTACCTGCAAGTATGTATTTTTATTAAATGCCTCTAAGAAGCTAAAAAATGTCTCAGAGTCTTATGTACTAAAATACCAAGTCAACTTTCCATAGATACCAAAAACTAAAGCAGTCTATTGACTATGGTAAGAAAAAGTCACCCTACACAACCCCAGAAGAGATCAAAGTCACCACCATATTGCACCTGTGTGTGTATAAACAACTTTGATACTTACTGTAACAACTGATTATAATGGTAAATAGAGAGTGTTTATTCAGAAACCACATGTCTTTCAAATGGAGCTACCTCTGAATAACATGAGTCACCCAGAAAGGTTTAAATTATATTCTATACCTACTGTCGAAGAGGTAGGGATATAAGTAACAATTAAGGTTTCTTAAAATCTTATTTCCTGATACTGCTTTATGAGCAAAATGCTGCCATAATATACACAAGAGACAAAAGAGGAAACGGATGTAAAAGGAAGCCCTCCTGGTGTCAGCAGCGCCGGAAGCACATCATCACTGTTACTGCCAGTGACACCCTGAGGAGAAGGGGCTCTGCACCAGGGGCTGGTGATCTGGTGCCCTCCACGAGGAAGGGTGGGCGCCTTGTATCTAGAATGCTTTGCTCGTCCAACTGGCCCAGTTTGGCTCAGCTGGTTGGACCACCCTACTCAAGGGGCTAAAGGAGACATTCCTGTCTGTATTGATGTTCGGATCAATGACTCTTTTACAAAGAAAAATTTCTGTTCCACAGACACATCCTTACTCTCAGACAACTGTCTAAAATGCTTCCTCATGGGGCGCCTGGGTGGCTCAGTCAGTTAAGCGTCTGCCTTCAGCTTGGGTCATGATCCCGGGGTCCTGGGACTGAGCCCCACACTGGGCTGCCTGCTCAGCGGGAAGCCTGCTTCTCCCTCTCCCTCTGTCCGCTGCTCCCCCTGCTTATGCTCTCTCTTTCTCTGTCAAATAAACAAAATCTTTAAAAAAAATAAAAAATAAAATAATACAATGCTTCCTCATGATTAGGTCCTATCCAACAGATGATCATTATTATTCACGCCAGCGTCGAACACTGAAGGGCAGCAGCTGTTTAACCCCGAACAGACAGAAAACCACACTACGGCCTGGCATGCCGCACTTGGCCCGCAGACCTGTTTTGCTTGGCCTGTGCGGTCTAAAAGAAATAAAGAGCCAATATTTCTCAAAACCTGAAAATTTTATCCTAAAGCTCAGATTTCTGGATTCTCTCGGCAGACTCTGAAGCTGTGGCATCACCAGGCCCTGACTCCTCCACAGAAACCACGGCCCTTGAGCTGTGACCACCCTCCTGAGGTGGGGCCGGCGCCCTTCCCCTCCCAGCAGCGAGTGGGTGGCCTCGCTGCCACGGACAGGACACCCTGGTCCCGGAAGTCTGTTTCCTTAAAACTGGGCTATGGCAGGAAAGGTTCTACTAAGTGACATCTGTCACCTAGGGATTCTAAGTAAGGATTTAGAGCCCCAAAGGGCTCTTGGATCTGTGACGGAGCCCTGGAAGAACTCTGTGTTCCTTTCCCTGTGAGGTGGATAAAATGTCCGCGTGCAGGCCCTCCTCCCATTCTTGGGTTTTCCTGGGGAGTAGAGAGGGAAGACTGACGCCAGGAGTGTGTCACCAACCTAACAGTTCACAGTAGAGCAAAAGGAAAAGTGTCTCTGTAAACACATCCCCGTGGTAAGTGAAAGGGTCTCTCCAAAGACAGAAGCGATGTTCCTGGTGGTTCCAGTAAATGGCTAGGCAGCTGTTCTTCAAAAAACAAAAAAGAAAGCAAGAAAGCAACAACCGGCCCAAAATGGAGTCATTGCCCCCAGAGAGCAAAGCAAGACTTTACCACTTTCAGCCTCTCCCAGGAATGTGACCTTTAACCAGTCAATCTGGAAATTCCTGATCAGCATGAGTGAGGTCATCTGCACAACAGACCCCCCTCCCCCCTTTCCCCAAAGAAAGGTGACCTTGCCTAAAACAATCCACTCTTTGTTAGAAAACTTCCTTTTCTGCCCTCTTCGGTCTATAAAAACTTTCCATTTCGTACCACCCCTCGGAGCTCCTTTCTACTTGCTGGGTGGGATGCTGCCTGATTCATGAACTCCTGAAGAAAGCCAATGAGATCTTTAAATTTACTCAGCTGAATTGTGTTTTAGAACACTGCATGGCAAGGAAGCGAGCGTGCGGCCACATAAAAAACTGCAGGCCCGAACTGAGATTCCAACGGTTTAACTTTTACAGCAAGAAATATATTGTGAAGCTGTGAAGGCGGGACTCATGAATCCTGCCAAGAAGGCAAAGAGCTACGGAGCCATGACATCATAGCTTCCGGTTCCTTCTACCTCCGGTTCCTTCTACCTTCTACCGTTTGGCGGGCTCCACTACCAGCACCTTGCAGGCCAAGAAGAGGTCTTGTTCATTCTTCTATATCCCAACATCTGCACAGTGTTTCACAGATAGGTGGTACTAAATAATAAATGGGTAACAGTGGTCTATGAACATTAAGATTTATCCAGGATCCCCATTGGAATTTGAATTCCGTTCTCTTGAGTCTCAGTCTGATAGCTTCATTACTGGTCAATTTGTTTCCTTTGTGTAGATACGCATCCACCTATCATTCCTGAGAAATACGTAGGAAGTTTTTTGTTTTTTGTTTTACCTTCAGTCATCAGAGAGGATGTATGATCAGATACCCTGGTTGGCCGAGGACAATCTCAACTTACGCCTGCTGTCCCAATATAATCATTAATAGAGCCTTCTATCACGCTCCCAGGTGTCAGGTTTGGATGATAAATTAGATCAGGGGTATACAAACTTTTTCTGAAAAGGGCCAAATGGCAAATATCGTAGGCTCTGAGTCATACAGTCGCTGTTGCTCTGTATTGGAAGTCTGCTACTCAGAGAGAACAGCCAGAGAGAACACGCAGATGAACGAGCATGAGAGTGTTCCAATAAAACGTCACAGGAACTGGTCACTAGCTGGATTTGGCCTGAGGGCCACAGTGTGCTGAGGCCTGAATTATAATGGTAACCCCTAGCTACCAAGAAATACAGGAATATTTCTTTCACCCTAGGAGAACAGAGCTCATAACGAGAAAATATTTTGAGGGTGAAGTGCAAAATTTAAGAAAAAACATGTATGTGTAGTAAAATCTTCAAGATGAAATACTACCTAAGAAAAAGTGAGTTCCAACAAAAAGGCATTATCTTTGAGAGCACGTGGTTTAGAATTTTTACAGAAAGTAAAAAGTCCATCTGAGAAAAATTTCATTTTAGGGAATCTCTGAAAAATGAAGCCGGCTGACTGAGGTGGTGCTCTCCAGGGAAGGGTTTATTTCCACCAGCTGAAGGAGGAACCTCTGCACTTGCTGCTAAGAAAAAAAAAGCAAGAAGTGAAAAGATGATCCAGGTCCCCCCTGAAGGCGGCCTGATTTTGGATCACCGATGAAGACAAATGGAGAGATCAAGGGGAAGACACAAGACCCAATGGCATCAGATGACAGAACTCAGGGGTACTTAAAAAAAAAAAAAAAAAAAGAGGGGACAGGATTGAAATAGCGCTGGTGCAGATTTTCTTTGAGGGAATGAGCCCTGGCTGGCTAGGGAAGTAAGGGGGTTGGGGAGAAGTAATGCCCCCTTCTTCTATTCATTGGTTTCACACATCAGGCCTGCAAGTCCCGGGGGAGACAAAAGCCAAAGCTTCAAGTGAACATCCTGGGGAGCCAAGGGGACAGTCCTCCCAGATGAAGCCAAACACCACAGACGCCCAGACAACCACCTGTCCAAAGCACAACAGCGGTACAAGAGCTCCATCTGCTGTAAGAACTGCCGGGACCGGCTCCCCTATCTTAGGAACTCACTCGCAGCCTTCCGAAACAGCCAGAGTCAGGAGCAAAGCAGCTGAGTCTATAGAACCTTGCACCCCTCTGGGACTGCACCAATCCTCATAAGCAGGCGCGGCCAGTCTTTAGGACACTAGAAATACAGGAAGCTGCCAAGGAAAAGTCTGGTTCTTTCAGATGACCACGATTCAATGCTATTTAGCCCCAATGTCAGTGTGGTGTTTGGCAGATTTGTGTGATCAGGTTTCACATCTTTCGGGGTCAGTTATTTGTGTAATTAGGAGACAATGGCTAAGGGCACACAAGCTCTATCCAAAGTGATCGTCACGTACATCACAAACCCCTTCTCCAAGGATGTGGGTTTGTTTGTTTTTCCTCTTGCGAATTTCTCTCTAAACAAGGATGCCTCTGTGTATCTCTGGGAGGAGGAAGGGGTCTTGTGCCACGAGCCAGGCCTGCCCCCGGCACAAGGCTATCAGTGTCCAATGTGTCTGGCACTGCTCGAGTCAGCCACATCCGGAGCTCCCTCCCCATCTGGGGTGTCTCGCACACCGGTGGGGAGGCGGGCCCTTTCTTCCCTACTCAGTGGGGTCTGTGCATGTGCCTTAAGGCCACCAATGTCTGCCTTGAGCACCTCAAGCAGTTCGGAGTGGGCCCCTTTCCATTTGAAAACAAAAATACCTAATTCTGTATTTTTTAATTTCCATTAAGCTTTTTCTTCCATTAAAATTATACACGTACACACACACATAAAATACCTTCTTAGCACTCCAGGAACAGAAGGGAGAGACGAAACCCTAAGTATCCCTCCTATTACCAAGAAACCCAAACAACTCTCGGACCAGGGGAAGACAAAAAGAAAAAGGAAACAAACTTCTGTTTCCCAGTTAACCTCAAGGAGGACCCATCCCGAAGCATATGACAGCAGGGCTTGCACACAGAAAGGACCAACACAATTTCCAGGGGGCTCACTCAGCTGCCCGCTGGTCTCTGTGACTCATGTCTCCCCTCAAAGGAGCAGCCCACCGGCCCCCTCCCCCCACGCCTCACGGCCCAGCTGGCCCTGGAGTGTCAGTCATCTGGCAACATGACCGCACAGGGCCACGGCCGCCACTGCTCACTCTCCTTCCCCTAAGAGCCACCCCACCCTGACCCCAGAAGCAAGAAGCAGCATTACGTACTGGGCAACCGATGTAGGCGGAGTTGTGGACACCGGGGGGCCTTTTGTAAGTGCCGTCGCTGTCTGTGGTGATGAGTCTGTCCTTCTCGGCATCTCCGGGGCAGCCATTGACCTGGTGTTTCCGACGTGGTTTGGGAGATCGCTTTATCCTGGAGCTTCGGGGGGGGGGGCAGAGGGGGGGAAGAGGTTATCTTGGTAGGAAATAAATCTTCCTGTGCCAGTAGCTTATCAACTAAACACTAAGTATTTTCTGAGCATCTGGGATGTGCTGGCCACTGCGGTAAACACCCCAAAGGATACAATGTGTAAGACACAGATTCTGCTATAAGAAAGCCACAGTCTACCTGAGCATATTCAAACGCATGGAACAGCAGAGAATCATGTAAGGTAATAAAATACCATGACTTTCTTTCAGACATTCAGAAAAGGGCAAGGTCAGTGTCGGCTACCGATACCGTGGCTGGCTATAGGGCCTGAACCGGGCCTTAAAAAGCAAGTACGATCTGCAGAGGAGGAGGGATGCGGGGACAGGGTGTGAGCCTGCACCTCACACCCTGTCCCCGCATCCCTCCTCCTCTGCAAGGGGAAGCAGATGAATGTGGGTGGGGGCGGAATGAGGGGACCATCTAATGGGGAGACCCTGTCTACACCGCCGGGCCGTGGAACGCAGCCAGAATGGAGAGGCAGGGCCCCGCCTGTTACCGAGCGCAGGTTCCACGTGGCAGGTAACCAACACCATTACAGGTGTTGAACAGGGCAAGACACAAATGAGGGCAGCGATCAGAGACGACGCATGCGCCTTAGGGACGGGGGTCTGGAAGACCAAGAGACCAAGACTCTGAGGGCAGCTGTGGGAAAAGAAATGGCCCTGCCACGCAGAGGAGGGGAAGGTACTGGGAGCGAGGGCGGGATGGGGGGAGACGTAGGAGGGAAGCCGGGGGGGGCCATCTGAGAAAGAAAGGGCGACTGCTATTTTCAACTAGCTGAATTCGAGGAGGCAGAGTACACCCAGGAATAAGGGGCAAGAGGAGGGGCAGGAGGGTGAATGAGAGCAGCCGGAGCGGGAGCAGAGCCGTGGGCGCCTCCGCAGGCAGACCTCGGGGAGCCCTGCTTGGGACGCGCACCTCTTCCTGGGCTCTATGAACACCGAGGGCACGCTGGCCGTGGGGTCCAGGATCTTGTCGATCTGCATCTGCGCCCTGCGGTACACACGGTGCCGCTCGCGCGTGTCGCCCGAGGACACGTCGTCCACCACCGGAAACTCGTAGTGCCCGCGGCGCTTGGCGCGGAGCCGGATCTTGTTCCGATGGTGCTCGATCTCGGACTTGTGCCGCAGCGCCGTCTGGATCTGCACGGCCGAGGGAAGACAAGGGAGACACATGGAACGTTCCCGAGGGGGCCGCCAGGTGGAGGGGAGACTCATGGAACGTTCCCGAGGGGGCCGCCAGGTGGAGGGGAGACTCATGGAACGTTCCCGAGGGGGCCGCCAGGTGGAGGGGAGACTCATGGAACGTTCCCGAGGGGGCCGCCAGGTGGAGGGGAGACTCATGGAACGGTCCCGAGGGGGCCGCCAGGTGGAGGGGAGACTCATGGAACGTTCCCGAGGGGGCCGCCAGGTGGAGGGGAGACTCATGGAACGTTCCCGAGGGGGCCGCCAGGTGGAGGGGAGACTCATGGAACGTTCCCGAGGGGGCCGCCAGGTGGAGGGGAGACTCATGGAACGGTCCCGAGGGGGCCGCCAGGTGGAGGGGAGACTCATGGAACGGTCCCGAGGGGGCCCCCAGGTGGAGGGGAGACTCATGGAACGTTCCCGAGGGGGCCCCCAGGTGGAGGGGAGACTCATGGAACGGTCCCGAGGGGGCCCCCAGGTGGAGGGGAGACTCATGGAACGGTCCCGAGGGGGCCCCCAGGTGGAGGGGAGACTCATGGAACGTTCCCGAGGGGGCCCCCAGGTGGAGGGGAGACACATGGAACGTTCCCGAGGGGGCCCCCATGTGGAGAGGGCATCTTGGGAAGGCGTTCCTTTCCCCCAGACGGCCGTCCCGGGCTCCAGCGAGGCCCCAAAGGCCGCGACATGGACGGCCCAACACACACACGGGGCCAGAGAATCTGCCATCAGCCACAGGCTGGGTCCCGTAGCCCATGTATGCATCAAATACTACATTTTAAAAAGAGAGTAAAAGAAAAACAGAGATGTACACTATCAAGTTGTGGGGCCATAGGCCTGGTGAGCCTACTCCCTTCTTTCTTTCCGGCACTGGGAGAATCCACTTTAGGGTGCTTACACATGGTAAGCACAGAGGCACATGCAACTCGAGATGCGGGCCACGGTCTAGGTTAGGCCGGGGGCTGTGCAGGGCTGGGGCTCCCCAGCAATGGTGAGCTGAGGCAGTGCACACCATCCTAAACCCACAGTGCACATTCTTAGCAAAAGAAGGAAAGACCATTAAGAACTCTTGATAGGACTTCCGTGAGATGATCTACTTTAAGGATCACCTTTAAAGCGGGAGAGGGTTGCAACTGTACCAACTTCCTACTACTTCACCCTGGCAGAACTCACAACAGTAGCAGGTGTTTCTTAGAGGCAGGAAATGGACAGACATGGAGCTGCCTTATGTGCAATCCTAAATGGCCTTTGGGCCACTCATTGTCTAGTCCAGGTCAAATCTCTCAAGGTCAAGTTAACAGTGACTTGGTCTGGCCTTCTAGTTCCCAAAATCTCAGGGGAGAAGTGGATCTAACTCACTCTTCCAGGATTCACTGGAGTCGGATTTTACTAGGTATTAGTAGATCCTTGGGGCCAGAGTGGATCTATCAGGGATCACAAAGTCTACAGTGGTCCTAAGATCACCCCAGGTTCAAAGGTTCATTAGGAAAACTCATAGGGGGGCGCCTGGGTGGCTCAGTCGTTAAGCGTCTGCCTTCGGCTCAGGTCATGATCCCAGGGTCCTGGAATCGAGTCCCACATCGGGCTCCCTGCTCGGCAGGAAACCTGCTTCTCGCTCTCCCACTCCCCCTGCTTGTGTTCCTGCTCTCGCTGTCTCTCTCTCTGTCATATAAATAAATAAAATCTTTAAAAAAAAAAAAAAGGAAAACTCATAGGACTCAGCAGTTAGTCCCATTTATTATAGCAAAAGGATGCAAATCAAAATAAGCAAAGAGAAATGGCATGTGGGTGAAGTCCAGAGGAACCAGGAGCAAGCTTCTAGGAGGCCTTCCCCAGGGGAGCCACACACAACAATGTTGCTTCCTTCCTCCAGCAATGAGTTGTGATGACACATGTGAAATGTCCACCAAGGAAGCCCATTGGAGATGCAATGCCCAGGATTCGTCCTGGGGGCTGGTCCAACAGGCTCCCTCTGCGTAGCATGTGCCAAAATTCCAGAGTCCCAGAAGGAAAAGAGATGTTCAGATAAGTCATACTGTTTGCATAAACAATCTGGGCACAGTGAGCCACTCTGTTCTGGGAATAGTGGGAATGTTTCTGAAACGTAAGTTCCCAAACATCAGCCAAGGGCCATAGGAGGACTTTTGAAGGACAGGAGGCTCGGGTTTGCTATGTTAAATCTCTGCACGTCTGCCATACGCCTAACAGTGTCCCTGAACGGCACTGGATCTAAACAAAAACTCAGCTTGATATTTAAAACGACGAATACTTGTCAGCAGCTCCTACCTTTAGCAATTTCCACCTGTTTTTAAGCAGTCACCAAATCAGAATGTGAATTTTTTTTTTTTTTTTAATAAATGGACTTTTTAAAAAAAGAGCAAATACCTCCTTGTTAATTTTGTTGGTTTCTGCCACCCGGTCGGCCAGTACGGGGTGCTGAACCGGAGGGGCCGGGATGGGCTGCATGGCGATCAGCTGTATCTTACTGGGAACCCGCCTGCTGGCCTCCGAGGACCGGGACAGCCTGTCCACATGCTCAAAGATGGAGGCCGACGAGTGCTGCTCGTTCCCCGAACTGGGCGGCGGTGGCCCTGGAGCAGAAGGAGAAGCAAAAGCAGAAATAAATAAAGCCATCCTGAAGAAACAGCAAATAATCAATCGTCATGCTACTTGGTGCCAAAACTTGCCCTGTTTTGTCTAAAGGCGTTTCAAAGTCTTCAGGAGGGGAAGGGAAAGTGCAAGTGCTGCGCAGAGTCACTAAGTGGCTTGCAGAACTTTTAAGGAAACACAGCAGCTCTGAACTTCCGCTCTCATTTGGAGAGATATAAACGTAGTCACTGAGGCAGTTATACTGGGGAAAAGACAGAAGATGAGGGGAGTGTGGACATGCAGACACTGAACGTGTCTGGCCTTTCAGTTCTGATGCACGAGGAAAACCAAGGTGAAGAGCCTCGAGGAGAAAAAGCTGCCGTCTGCGGGGCATTCATTCCAACTTTAAAAAAAGAAGAGTAGTACCCTTAAAAATGGCCATGGGGAGGGGACTGGGTGGCTCAGTTGGTTAAGCATTTGCCTTAGGCTCAGGTCATGGTCTCAGGTCCTGGGGTTGAGCCCCATGTTGGGCTCCTGCTCTCTCGCTCCCTCTCAAATAAATAAATAAAATCTTTTTTAAAAAATGGTCAAGAGGGGAAACTGTATGGCATGTATATTTTACTACCTGGGACATGTTAGAAAAGTAATCAGAACTTCGAAAAAGAAAACAGAGATTGGATCTTGGTATAACGGGTGATTTTCTCCAATTTCTTGCATTTTCTCTAGTGAGGATGTTCTTTAACGAGTATGACTTTTACAGTAGAAATAATCCCAATAAACTTTACTTTTATAAAGGCAAAGAGCGAGAGATGCAGAAGGGCTAAAGAGATGGAAAGAGCTCAATAGAGCTACTGGGAAGCACTCCCTCTGATAAGCCACAGCCACTCTCTGAACCCTCCGGACGCTGCCTTTTTTTTTTTTTTTTTTACTTTAAAGATTTTTTTTATTTATTGGAGAGAGCGAGAGAGACAGAGAGAGCACAAGCAGGGGGGAGTGGGAGAGAGAGAAGCAGACTCTTCGCTGAGCAGGGAGCCTGATGCAGGGCTCGATCCCAGAACCCTGGGATCATGACCTGAGCCGAAGGCAGATGCTTAACAGAGCACCCTGGACACTGCTTTAAAATAAATGGCCAAGAGGCCACAAGAAGGAGTGAGAGCATGTAGAATCTGTTTTCAAACAAAAGCCTGAGGTTGATTCAAGCGCAAGTGAAAAATATAGAGGTTTCTCCTTGATGTAAAACAAGATAGAGGGGTGCCTGGGTGGCTCAGTAGGTTAAGCGTCTGCCTTCTGCTCAGGTCACAATCCTGGGGTCCTGGGATCGAGCCCCGCATCAGGCTCCCTGCTCAGCCGGGAGGCTGCTTCTTCCTCTCCTCCCAGCTAGTGCTCTCTCTCTCTATCTCTGTCTCTCTCTCTCAAATAAATAAATAAAATCTTTAAAAAAATAAATAAAACAGGATAGAATGGGCAAAACAGTAAAAAATAGTAACAGCTATTTTACATAAGGAATGTATGCACGTCAGTGGTATGGAAGTCTTTGTACTTCCTCTCAATGTGAATTATATTCATTCGTTACCCCACACGATTAGAAATGATTTATGGAACTGTGAATGAATGACGACTCCCTTAGCGAGAAGGCATAGTTGTCTCGATTCAGGCTAATCTGGGGCTTTCTTTCCCTACCCTGGGCCCGGAGGGAGCCTATTTGTGCAACATGAGCACAGCCGGGCACCACCATTCATCTGGGGGCAGCTACTCAAATTACAGGCTCGATGCCTAAAAGGAGGTAATTAGCTTCTCCAGATAGGCTAGCCTGGCTAACCCAAACTTACAATGTAGCAGCAAATGTCACAAAGGGGGGCCCAGTAAGCTACTGATACTTAAAGGTGAGACCGCTTTCCTCCAGGAAGGTGAAAAGACCAGGACACACAGATGACAAAGGAAGAATGCACCCCCCGCTCCCCCGCAGTGCTATCTGCCTGCCTGGGTACCTGGGAGCTGCAGGCCTGTGACTGGCTCCTGTCTGTGCCCCTTCCAGCCCCCAGCCATGGTCATGGCTCGTCACTCTATAATTCACCACTGCAACCAGAGACGCACGAGAAGCCCAGAAAATCCTCAAGCTTCCAAACTGCTCGGAACCCAGCCTTTCTAATATATACATATATATATTAGGTATATATATATTTATTAAAAAATATATATTTTATAACTGGGTTATTTTTATTGTTTGCTATGTACTGCATAATTTATTTTTTTTAAAAAACAACCTGGACAACAATAACCAATGGAAAGTACAACTCAATACATAGAGATTAATCTGTGTAAATCTGCCTTAAGGTAAGTTAGAGACTTTGGATTAAAACCCATTTCTATTCAAATATTACAACACCAAAAAAAATTGTAATTATAGAAATTAGAGTATGGGATAACGTCGACAAAGCAGAATGACAGAGGGAAGGGCAATGCTCACTGTTAAAATGCTGAAGCAATGGAACACTTCTCAAGAAATACAAACTTCATTATCTATAGGTGAATACAGTCAAAGTGCATCATCCGTAAGGCCCGTGGCCCCCATTAATATCCTGTGAGGCAGGGATTCCATTTCTCTCTCCCTCTTCATCCTGTTCCAGCGCCTCCCCCACCACAGGCCCTGAGCACCCATTTGCTGAATGCAGGACTAAACGACCAGTCACCTCAGCTAAGTTCATAAAATGTTACCTCAAAGAGGCCTCTGGGGATCTGCTGCAATACAAAGAATTCTAACTTATGACCTCAAATCATTTCATAAACAAGCACTCCACAATCATCTGAAAAACCCTGATGTGACAGGTAGTCAACACAGGTGCCCTGCAATCTCTCTAAAACTATTAATTTGCTTTGCCAACTTTTTTTTAAGATATATTTATTTGAGGGCGCCTGGGTGGCTCAGTTGGTTAAGCGACTGCCTTCGGCTCAGGTCATGATCCTGGAGTCCCAGGATCGAGTCCCGCATCGGGCTCCCTGCTCGGCAGGGAGCCTGCTTCTCCCTCTGACCTTCCCCCCTCTCATGTGCTCTCTGTCTCTCTCATTCTGTCTCAGATATATAAATAAAATCTTAAAAAAAAAAAAAAGATATATTTATTTGAGAGAGAGAGTGCACAAGCAAGCAGGCGGAGGGGCAGAGGGAGAGAATACCCAGGCAGACTCCCCACTGAGCACAGAGCCCGAGATAGGGCTTGATCCCAGGACCCTGAGATCACGACCTGAGCCAAAGCCAAGAGTCGGACGCTCAGCGGACTGAGCCACCCAGGCACCCCTTCTTGCAAACTCTTTAGCACATGCCAAGGTAGATGTCAGCTTAGTTCCAACTAAGAATTCCATTCTAGAATTCAGAATTTGTGGAATTCCCCTTAATGAAGTTCCAACTCCTTAAAAATCACACCCGTGCACACCGTGTTTCGCAGTCCTTACCTATTGGGGGATTCCTGATGACAGAAGGAAGGGGGACGCGACATTATGCAAGGACACCAGAGTGGTGGCACAGTAACTGTCTGAAGGCCTCTGCCTTCACCCGAGGAAGGTACGTCACCTCCCTATCTCATCTCGCTCTTGACAGCTCTGCTAAAGGGAACCCGTGGTCATGACGTGACTTATTCTAAAACCGTGATAACCGTGGTAACTGTGAACACAGTGACATCTGAGTCAATAACCTCATAAGGGTCCATCCATGGGCGGTCATATATGCATTATGGTCTAGCTGCCTTCCAAAAACAGTCAGCTGGGAAGGGAATAAAGCACAACCTCTAACAGACCAAAACCAAAACAACGCTCTTTTCTCAGCTATATCGCCATGTGGGTCCTGGAAATGTCAGATGACTTGTGACATCCATCGAAAGCCTCGCCAAGGAGTCAGAGGGGACCCGGCGGCCATGCCACCTGCTGTGGTAAGAGGCAACACTAGGCCCAGGGCAACATGGAGGAGGGATTAGAAACTCACAATCTTTTCTATACGGTATTTAATTAAGTTCTATGCAAGCAATAAAATGCCTTCATGGAAGCTTTACAGAAATAAATAAAATCTTCCAAGTGAATTGATATTTACAGTGAGAAAATCATCTTTCTAAAACATGAAAATAATGTGCAGACTGTGGTGTCTCTCCAAATCATAATAGCAGCAGCTATGCTTCTAGAACTCACAAGAACATCTAACACACTTGCCTCCTTCCACAGGCAACTCAGTCCCACATCTCACATGCTCACTACCTGGATTTTGAATATACGATGATAGTGACTTTTGATTTTCGTTAGCCATGCAGAATATACTAAAACTGTCAGGAGTTAAATGTGGGAACTAAAAGCGAGATTTTCTCAGATAAGCAATTAACAGAAACGGAGAAACCCCAGAACCGACTGTTTGTTTTCTTTTCCCCCCCTCATATATTTCCTTCCTGGAATCAAAATTAGATTTTAGTCCTGTCTATCTGAAACAGAGCACCTGTTACCATGGTGCTAAATAACTTCTAAGATTCTGTGAAACTGGATCCAAAGAAAAAACTCTTCCCTTATTCTAAGGGGGGTTTCTTTAACATCAAAAAGGAACTGGAAGGAATTTCAGAAATGAGCTAGTTTAGTCCCACAGAAGCCCCAAAGGCTGAGGGACTCGCAAGATCACACGCATGACAGTGACAGATCAGGCCCTCTGTCTTCTAGCTAGAATCTGTTCATTTATAGGATACGATTCACTCTGTACTGCATTTCAAACAAAGAAATGTGTGATGACAAATGTTTAAGTATAAAAATTACTATTAAAAATAATATCCTGAGCATCCCACTTTTCTTTGCACTACTGAAACAGTCCTGAGATAGAAATAAAACTCCAGCAAATACAAGAGCTGTACTCGCACATTTATTTACGGAATCTGTTAAACTAAAACCAAACTACCTTGCCATCACACCAAAAAATGCCCCTAAGTCTAGTGAGACCTGTGGGCTTAGTTTGATCACAGAGGATGAGCTCCACAGTAAAGTCCTTTGAGATGGACAGGAAGTTCATTTCAGACCTGGCCTAAAAAGCCACAGACTACAGATATAAATATGCTACACCATTTCAGTCTCACTGAACTACCTGCGGGAAGAAGGATCTAGGAACAGGACCAAATAGAATGCATTTGGACCCATGATAAATAAATGACTTCCTGGCAGTGACAGCTGAGAAAAATCCAGAATTGGATCCTAAGAAGGTCACTAAATTCTGGAGGTAGTTTTTGAGACTCTGGTTTTAGTTTGGGTCCTCCTGTTCTTCGGAGAGGAAAACCATTAGGACTCTAAACTAGAATGGAACATGGCTATTAACCTCAAAACACACTTGAGTGAACCCCTAACCTCCAGCACGGTCTCCCGCCTCAACGAAGACACTAGAACGACATTAGACAGTGACAGTCGATGCTGAGAAATTCACCATACGGATGATGAGTATTCCACAGCAGATTTTTTTTTTTTTTTTTAGGGTCTAGCATTTGAAGTAGCATAAAACCTTATCCTATTGGAATCTCATCATTACTATGTTGAATGTGGAGAATGAGAAGAGTCACAGACCGCTCTGTGGGCCTCTGTGGGACTGGCCATCGTTCACTGGTCCCGGCGTCTTGTCTCCCACGTCCCTCTCACTGGACTCCTCACTTACGGTAGAGTCAGCATCCGAGGGAGAAACTCTGCAGTCACAGAACAAATGCAAGCATTAGGAAAAAGAAAGAAAGGGCCTGCGGGGGCGGGGGGGGTGGGAGGTGGGGAGAGGTCACATTAATTTAGATGTGGAAGTCAGGTTTCCAGGCAAAACAGACAGAAATGAGACAGTTCCCAAAAATCATCTTCAAGGAACACGTTGCTAGCACATGGTCCCCTCTTGAAGACAATATCATGTGGCTTCTCTGGCTCAGCAGGCTGCATTCCAAGGAATGTCAGGAAGCTAAGGGCCAGACTGGAGGATGGTCCCACAGTTGCCAGGGCCCTGGATTGGTAGTCTGGGTCTGGCATAGATTGTATCAGAAGATCTGGGGTTCAGGCCTGGTTCCCGGTCAACAGGGACTGCAGAATCCCTAGGAACCCAGGGTGGTCCTATTGTCACCCCCACAGAACCCCAGAGCTCTGGGAGAAGCCTATAATTACAACACAAAAGCAACGATCACCCCTGAGCTTTGAATCTGTCTATCAAAAGCAAGGGAGACACAGAACTAGGTTGCAGGAGGCTAATGAAAGTCCTTAACCTGTTAGCACCTCTTCTCTCAGTGCCCCTGAGTCCTACATTAATCATGCAGACCACTGAAATGTTACATCTAAATGTTTAGGATGAGACGACCAAGGGAAGAGAAAAAAAAAAAAAACTTGGCAAAATTATACTAACATATTCAACAGTCTTTAATGTGATTTGATTTATTCTTAGCCTGCAAGATGATTAAGCAAATAACATCTCTCGACATAATTCATTTTCTTTTGTAGAGATCATGGTGTAACATCCATTAAATTGTTAAAACTAGGCCAGAACCCCCTGGGGTAGAAATTGTGACAGCGTTTCAAATGTTGGTATGATCACACATTTCTTCCCTCTTCGCAGGAAATCAAGATTTGGAGTTCAAAGCTCAAAGGCAGGCTGATAATTTGAGGCTTCCATACCCTAGTGTGATTGTGCTGAGATCTAAAGGCAGCTGCATAAAACCCGATTCTGAACTTCCACGGAGCTACAGCCCTTCTCCTAGGATCAGAGGGTGAGGGGGAACTTCCAGGTGGCATGTTAACACGAAGCCCTCGGCCTGCTTCCCTTTGATAGGAGGAATGGAAAGACAGTGGGGATGGGGAGCTGGGCAGGGAGGAGGCAGTGCCGAGTCCATGGAAACATGCTAATGAGGGTGACAGCAGAGCCGGCCAGAGGGAAAGCAAGCAAAGAATAAAGGACGTGATGAAAGTCACCGCAGACGCAGCAAGGAAGGCAAAGTCAGTACAGGCTGAGTGTGTATTATGTGTCATGCACTTTTCAGACATTACTTCTGGTATCATCTCCAGAGGGCCCAGAACAATCACCCCAGAATATACCCACTCGAGCTAGGCAAGACCTAATCAAGTCTCGGGGGTGGGACCACCAAAGCATCTGGCCGCCTCTGGTGGTCCACTGGAGTGGATCGAGAGCCCTGTGGTTCGTGGACTTTGGCAAACTGTTGCCAGTCTCCCGGGCTGCACACCCAGGGGATACTCACCATCAGCTCTTCTCACACTGGAAACTGACAAAACTGAGAAGGGAAGCATGCTCTGTGATAGGGAACAATACAGAAAGCCCGATAAGAACCTTCCTCTGTGACGGAGGTTCTTGGAAGGGATCTTTGCCTTGGGGCTCGGCACATCTCCGTTTTCCGAGGGCGTGGTGTGGTCCTTCCCCGGTCCCGGTCCTGGTAGTGGTGCTGGCTCATGAATAATCAAGATGTCGTCTTTATTGTGCTGACCCAGATGCTGCTTAGCAAAATCAAAGCCCTTCACACTAGGGATCTGCAACTAAAACACACACACACACACACACACAAGCGAAGACAGTCAATCTGAAATCTGAGAATGGTAAAAAGGGATTGTGAGAGCTGGCAAGATTGCTGAGTGCTGACTTCTGACCAGAGATCATGCCTGCCATCCCATCATTCTAATTCAACAAGCATCTCTAAAACGTCGGCTGTGTGCACAGTGCCATTCACACCTAGAGTCTGCAGAAAAGACAGATACCTGCGAAAGATTAAAGAAGAGTACAGGATCAAACACCCAGACCGTAGTACAAAAGACATCACAAGACGATACCTGCCTGACCCACCATCACAGTTGCATGATCACGCGGTTCCAGAGAGAGTGGCACAAGCGAGATAGATATTCTTTATAGAGAAATGAAGACTTGAGCCAGGATTCACAGGACAGGCAGACCTTGGAAATGAAAAGGGGCAGCTACACAGAGGATGTTCTAGATCAAGTCAGACACCAGAGAACACTTGAGGGCTGGGAAGAGATCCCATCAGCTGACCTAGAAGGGTCAGAATGTGGGGAGGGACAGAAGGCTGGCCAACACCAAATGCCTGTTTCTAGAGCAGAAAACCACTAAATATTTCTGAAGAGGAAGATTTCTAAAATCCAAGCAGGCAGGACACACAGGGCTGTTGGAGGGCCAACAATACCCATGCAAAAAATGACAAAAGCCTGAGCCCTAAACCCTAACAATGGAAATGGGAAGGAATGAATCGTTCTAGAGACTGGGCTGAAGGATCTGGAAGCCAAAAATAGACACAAGAGGCAAAGGAGGGAAAGGGAAAGTAGCCAATGATGACTTGAATGACTTATAGGCAGGCATCCTGAACGGGGGAAGGGACATTCATCATGAAAGAATGGTAACCTGAGGAGATAAAAAGATAGGTTTCACTTTAGACATGCTTAGTTTGAGATGGCAGAAAAGCTCCAAAGGAGAGTAGCCCCGTGTAGCTGGACACGGAGGACAATAGCTTGGGGGAAATTTCAGGCTGGAGACAGGACTTTGAGAGAATCTATACAGAAGATGACAGGTAGGGGACCTGAGATTTTTTTTCTCAGATTTTTCAAGATGAAAACAGAGTCTGTGGATAAAATGTTGGGGAACATCTAATAGTTTGGGGCTCAAAGGAGGAAGAGGAGGCAAGCAAAAAATAGATGACTTCAAAAAAAGGAATTTGTAAAGTTCAATGTAATAGAAGGCAAGGGGATACAGAATTTCTAGAAAGGAGTGGCCAACAGAAATATTGGGGGCACAAGGAGGAAGGAGAAAGGGGTCTTCAAAAAAGCCCACCTCTCACACTGGGGGACGCAGAAGTCCTACATGAGATACACAATAGCAACACCAAACCCACAGCCCAGACCCCTGTCACCACAGAGTCCAGACCTCAGCTTCTAGCTTCCTGTGCTAACACAGGAAATGTGCTCAAGGTACAGAGAACTGGGGGCAATCAAGGTGAGGCACCATTTGTGGGGACCCTAAAAGTGTAGGGGGGGGTAATCATGCATCATTAATTTGAGTTTGCAGAGTATAGGAAACTAAACTACATTTCAATAATTGTCCCAAGGGCCTCCTTGGCAGAAGGCCACATGCACAACCAAAGCCCTTATCCGGGCTGTATTCCACCCCTAGAGAGAGTCCATCCGTCAAAGACAAAGGCCAAACCAACCTAAGGAGTTATTTTAGACAATGTGTTATGTAGAAGCAAAAGGTTGTGCCATATCTGTGTTAATTTTATGCCAAATGAGTGACAACACCAATGGTTTCCATTTGTGATCCTCGGAGGTCTTTTTAGCACGGCAAGTCTACGATCAGTGAAGACAAGGGAAGGAGTCTGCAATAATGACTTCTGCCAGCAGAGGGGGACAAAACTCACTATAAATGTAGTTTACAAAGATGTTGCTTGGAAACAAAAGGTAAAGACCTGGTGGGCTGTATTTTCTAAATTAATGATGTCATGTGACAAGAGCAGGCTACTCCACACAGTCCTTGGCTCAGGAACACTCTTTCATGAATATGAACCCAAACCTGCCCCTCTCTGGTTCCCCTGCCCCCTCCAACCACTCAGGATACGTTTATCTCCTCATCCACAAGACTGTGATTTTCAGCAGGGCTCCCTGAATCCCTGGGGGTGTACGTTTTCCTAGGGGCATGCAGCCATTTTAAGACTGTCAAAGTTCAGATGGATAAGCTCTGTGTATGCTTTATTTTCTCAGTGATTTTCCTGAGAGTGTGCCTGTAGTCTGGCCATCGGGCTGGTTCCCTTTTCCCGCCTCCCGTTATAAGGGTCCTTCTGCTTTACAGAAGAGAGGCGCCCCTCTCACCCACACGGGAGCCTTTACCCAGCCGCACCTCATGGTAGCTCCATAAAGAAGCTACCTCTAAATGAAAGGATCACAGAGATAATCAATAGTCACTGAGTCAACACCATCAACACCATTTAATAAATCTTGGTAAAACCTTTTTTAGTGTATTTCCCAGCAAGAAACTAAATGCCTCCAACGACCAAGAGACAATCACTTTTGCAAAGCAGATGATCTGCTTTACCAAAATTGAAGGAGGAGCCACAGATTGTCTCCTCCAAGCAGAGGTCTCCAAGTGAATAAGGGAAAAATACAAACAGCTCTACCTCTGTGGTGCATTCAGTGTACCCCAAGTCTAGGAGTTAACACTACTGGTCTACCCTGACAGACTCTCGGGTTCGTGCAAGAAACAAGAGTATGTATACATCAAAAATGCTTCATTATTATTGCTGTTGGATGATGAAATATCAAGCAGTTAATATAAATGCCTAAGCATTCTCAGCCATCAGATAAAAGCTATTAAGTTAGATACGAAATTTTATAATTCAGCAACAGGGTGTGACACATGGTAGACCGTCTGTAAATATTTGATGACTAAATCAATTTTAAAAAGTTAATTGAAGGGCGCCTGGGTGGCTCAGTTGGTTGAGCGACTGCCTTCGGCTCAGGTCATGATCCTAGAGTCCCGGGATCGAGTCCCGCATCGGGCTCCCTGCTCAGCGGGGAGTCTGCTTCTCCCTCTGACCCTCCTCACTCTCATGTGCTCTCTCTCTCTCTCTCTCTCATTCTCTCTCTCAAATAAATAAATAAAATCTTTAAAAAAAAAAAAAGTCAGTTGAAGTTCCAAACTTGCTGGATCTTGTGGGGAGCCATGAAAAAGGGTATATGTCATCAATAAAATATAGGTCCATAAAAGCCCTGTGGGCTTACTGTTGATTCCTACCAACATTTTCAAATATCTCCATTAGATCCTTGCACTTCTCACTGGCAGGGTGAGTCACCACCTTCCACAACAATAGAAATTTGGCAACTACTCTGTGCTTCTGCACAAAACAAAAGCTATCTTAGAACACACACAGAAGGAAGAAATTAGAGGAAACCTTGCCCACTTATGCATAGAATTAGCTTTTGTTTCATCCCTACTTTCCAGAATGTTTTTTTCTAGTTTTTCCATTTCTTTAAAAAAAAAAAAAAAAATCTAGAGTTAAGTCTGGCTGTATTGTGTCTCCAGCTTCCACATGCAGAATAAGCTTCAATCAGTATTTTATAGAAGAAGAGCCACAATTAATTAGTGCCTTCAATATTTCCATTAGGACCCTTTAAGGGTTCTGAGGAGAGACAGTCCTTTTGTTCCTTCTCTCTTTAATATGTCACAGAGGGGACAGGCCCCATTGTCCGTGCCCCACTGGAATAACGTCGCCGACAAGTCAGAGCGGGCGGGTAAAGCTGGTCAGCCAAAGAACAGGAGAGATGCCTGATGAATTTTAAAACATGTGAGCCGTAAATATAATACAACCCCAGGCAGAACAAGATGGAATGAATCTCTAGCACTCCAGTTAGACTGAACCCCTGGGAAGGAGCAGTTAAGATAACAATAGAAATCAAAGAGCAAACCCCAAAGGTGCCTGGGTAAAAATCTGCCATCTCGAAGACAGCAGCATTGTCTACCCATTTCTTATTTGGTAGATGAGATCTGTGAAAAGTCTCTGTAGTCGCCGTGCTGTTTCCATTCAGAAGGTGAAGACAAGGCAAAGTTACTGCCTGTGTCTGCTGGAGCCCTGGGGACCCCGGTCACCCTGCAGTCTTGGAGGTAGAAGAGCAGAACTCCAAGACTCTCCTGCCCCCGGGGGCCACAGCAAATCGCAGCCAAGTGACCACAGGTGAACTGAACTCTCCACATATTAGGTGCCACGGGGTCCTTGCAGAGACTCGAAGAGCAACCACAGGGGACAAGATGAATTTGGCTGAGATGGGACAAACACCCATGGAGCCTCTCTCTTCGATCAGCTGTCCACACAGCCTCCCAAAGTGGTCATTCCAGAGATAAATACGTTCAAGCTGCTGTCCCTGCTGAAAATCCTTCCATGGCTCCCCACCACCTACGGCACCATTGCCGACCCGATATGTCCTACAACTCCTCCCAGCCTGGCTCTCGTCTCCTGTCACCTCACAGTTTTTGCTGTGCCCTTCCAGACAACTTTTGCCCCATCATTCCTGACATACAGGCCATTCCCTCCACCTGGGCCCACTTCACCTGGCTTCATCTCCTCCACCTCTGAGCTTCAGCCCCAGCATCGCCTCTTTTTTTTTTTAAGATTTTATTTATTTATTTATTTATTTATTTATTTATTTATTTATTTGACAGTGAGAGAGAGAGAGAGAACACGCACAAGCAGGGGGAAGCAGCAGCAGAGGGAGAGGGAGAAGCAGGCTTCCGGCTGAGCAGGGAGCCTGATGCGGGGCTCGATCCCAGGACCCCGGGATCATGACCTGAGCTGAAAGCAGATGCCCAACAACTGAGCCACCCAGGCGCCCCCCCAGCATCGCCTCTTTCCAGAGGCAGAGGCAGCCCACCACCCAACGGGGTGGCTGCCCCTTCTCCCTGCTTCCAAGACAGCCTAGACAGACTTACGCTACCGTGTGTCAGTGTCCGGGTCCCTCGTCCTTCTCCCTTACCGAAGCCCTCGAAACAGGGACTGCATGTTATCTGGGCTTACAACCCGGCCTGGCCCTGCTTGGGCTCAGAGCAAATGCTCGGTGTTTGGTGAATGGATATGCAGTGACTAAGGCATCTCCATGTGGCTGCCCACAGTGCCCACCAGTCAGGAACCACGGTCCCACGCCAACCAACCACAGAGAGTGGACTGTCCCCATCAGAAGGAACAAGTTTTCACGGGACCAGCAGCATCTAGCCAATGCCATTCATCTCTTTACATACAACCTCAACAGGGTGAGGTGGGTCCAAGCTGCAGTTTTTCTGATACCAGTAAACAGTGATGACTTTAAAGAGACTACAGATAAAGCGAAGATACGGGTTAGATTTGTTTTTTAATGACTGGAAATAAAAAAGGGCCCTCTCTCAAAATGTGACAGAATGGCCTCTCCCTCTTATCGTATGTCAAAACTAATCCACTCCCAGACAATCTGAAGAGGTTTCCTGCTCGTTACAAGGGGTAGGGGGTGTGGGTTTTTTTGGTGGGCACATGTATTGTTTCCAGATGTTTGTAGCTCCGGGATTACGGAGCTCAAGGATCTGGGAGAGTAGCAGCAAGGCAGCATCAGGGGGCAGGGTGAGCAGAACAGAAAGAGAGACAACAGAGAGTCGCACAAGAAGGAAAAAGAACTTTCGCAGTCCCAGGGAAACTAGCATCTTTTCAAATTGTCCCAAGGGATGGGCTAGATAGAGGCCCTTCACCACTGCCAGGTAAATCTTAGAAGAAACACTTGTGAAGTAGAGATATTTGTTTCTAAACTAAACAGAGATCATCCTTTTCCTATTATAAATGCATGACAAGATCTATACGGTAGGTTCCTGTGCCGGCAAACCAAAGACCACCCTTCTGAAATGTCGCAGAGATCAGGCCCCCCTACCCGGGTCAGAAGACGCTGACTCCCTCAGGGACTCCTCCACACAGAAGACCTTCCAACAAACATGTTGTAAAGACATACGCACAAATCCTCCAGCACATGCAAAGCAAGAGCAACCCTAAGGGCTGGAAGTTCTATTTGAAACTCTGTCCATCTGATTTACAGCAACATCTGGGGCACGAAGATATTTCAGAAGTAAAAGTGGGAGAAGGAGAAAACCTGGGGAGTATCCTGTTTTGAACTCAAGGGATGCTGTCCTCTGACAGGTGAATGAAGTAACAGATGACAGATGGGCTTCCACAGGGAGTGTTTATGTTAGGGAACCTGGAACATGAAAGACCTGAATACATAACCATCTACACTGGGTAAATCTCTCTGCAACAATACTCTTTCACCAGAACAAAAACATTTCCAAACTTATTGTTGACCTCATTACAATGAAATTCACACTATGAATGATTTAGTACCTCCAGCACTTCTTCCAGGGTTTTCCATGGCATTATCTAGTCTAACAACAAAACCATCTCAGCACACTCTGTAAATAATAAATGAAGATAGGTAATAAATATAATGTTAATGTCTAAAATACTTCCAATACCCTTGATAACCATCAGCTTGCAATTTAGTCATGATTTTGCATTTTTAGTTAATTCATAAGAAAAAGAATACTCTTCATTTACTTTTACAAAAGTACAATAAGTGAAGAATACCTACTTTTTCATTCAGCAGGTGTAGGTTTGTAATGGGCAGAAATTTTTAAACCCAGACAGAATAAATTTAAAAGGTTAACAGGCAGCCCTTTACTTCTTGTTCTTCTGCCTCTTCCTTGCTTTTTCTTATCAAAGTTCTAGAGTCAAGTGAGTCCTCTAAATGTGTGAGACCCACAGAGGGTGCACATTCACACACAGTCGACAGATTACCACTTTCCATCCCCTTGGTAACGGCTCATTGCCTGGGGTGCTAGATATGTGCAGCTACTGTGTTCTTCTTCAGTGCTTGGCATGTTTCTGCTCACACCAGATCAACCAAAACTCGATACTTACCAAGAGTCAATGTCTCTGCTCTGAAACTGGTATGTGACAATTAAGTATTGCAGAAATCATTGAAACATAAAAGTGAGAATTGCTATTACTATAAAAACTAAATGGGGGGGTGCCTGGGTGGCTCAGCCGGTTAAGCGTCTGCCTTCAGCTCAGGTCATGATCCCAGGGTCCTGGGATCGAGCCCCGCATCAGGCTCCCTGCTCAGCGGGAAGCCTGCTTCTCCCTCTCCCACTCCCCCTGCTTGTATTCCCTCTCTTGCGGTCTCTCTCTCTCTCTCAAATAAATGAAATCTTTAAAAACTAAAGACCACCCTTCTGAAAAAGATGTTTAAAAACACAATGCTGTGAAGTTAGGTGTAGGTGAATTAGCTCTGAAAGATTACAGAGTTGGGGAGGGTATCAAAAAAAAAATTAAAAAAAAAACCCTAGAGCACTTTACACTCAGGTTGCTTGCTCTTCTCTAAAGAAACCCAAACTGGAAACTGCAGCTGATGCATTATAGGTGGTGTTTCTTTTTTAATTTTTTTAATTTTAATTTTTATTTTTGAGAGGGAGAGAGAGAATCACAAGCAGGCTCCATAGAGAGCCCGATGTGGGACGCAGTCTCACGGCCCTGAGATCATGACCTGAGCCTAAATCAAGTCGGACGCTTAACTGACTTAAACTAAAACCCAGGTGCCCCTAGGTGTATTGTTTCTTACAAGAAAAACCAAACAGAATCCTCTTGGTAAACCAACAGTCCAAAAAATAAAATATAAAAGAAAAAAGACTCAGGGTACATCAAAAGATTGGCGAATACAGACCCACTCATATCTTTAAATTAAAATGTTTAAGGCATATAAGTATCATTTTTTTAATGATTAAATGGTCTTGATCAAGGTGGACAGTGGGTTTCCCATATGGTGGATGGAAACTAAAGGAGCCGTCCAGTGGAACTGTGTATGAAAGAAATAGACACACAGATCTGAGAAAACCTCCCTTGGCTCTCGTTCTTTGAAAATATCCAGGGTTAAAATAGATCAGAATTCATACAAAAATGGATGTGATCTTTGAACTAATCATTTCACAAATAAAATCACAGTAGAACTCAGAGCTCATAACACTGCTAAGCCCTGATACAGCTTCATCTTCTTGGCGTATAATTAACACTACAGAAGAATCATGGTTCCAGTAGCAAACGTGAGGCAAAGAGATACCACCATTAAAGCCAAAAAAATGTCCCTATCAGCTTTCTGACCCAGCTTTCAGTATCAAGAGCCTGAACTCAGCCTACCCCAGCCCATATGACTGCCCGTGTGAAGGCTGGGGGGTCACACCCTCACCTTCTGACGCTGCTGGATGTTGGCCACCGTGTCGGGTTGGAAGTCCAACTTGTCTGTGCGGCAGAGTTTCCAGTAGAGGATGATGACAATCACCATCACCACCAGCACTGGAATGACCACACCGACAATGACCCAGAGGTTGCTACTCTGGGACTCAGGGGACGGCCTCTTCACTCTGTCCAAGGCTGCAGACAAAGAAGACAGGTCGTTCACTAATTCCTCTGCACTCACTTACTTGACAGCCCTTCTGTGCAGGGAACATGGCTTCTTCGATGAGAAACCTGGAAAGTCCTTGTCATTTCAGGTCAAGTCAAGCGGTTAGACTCTGTAATCTCCTGATGATCAGAAACATGATGCAGTGAACAAGCACAACATAGAATACTACATCCTCAATGCCCGAGGGACCATGGTGACATACTGACATGTCTAAAGGGAACATGGCTCATCCAATGGCAGAGCTATGTTAATTCCAGGTCTCCTGACTTCCCATGTATTCTACTAGCTCCACCCTAATCTCACTGCAGAAACGCTTCCATACTAAAAATCAGAAATCCCAATAAATAGTCTACAAACACTGTCTTAATTTCTTCACCTGTGTCTCTCTCTAAACTCCTGAAACAAGATTTAAGGCACCAGATGTCAATTTTAAAATTACATGACATCCAACTTACTTACTCGGAATCTGCCATTCCCCACCCTCCTGACCACCCAGACCACTGCTGCAGCCTCCCATCTTCTGTGACCTGGGATGAATATACTTCAAGCACTCTGCCTTCCTTTCCTTCACCAGCTCCTTTCCCTAACCTTGCCTCCTGGTCCTGGGCCCTCATCCTCTTCATTCTGTACTCATCCTCTCAAGGGACTCAGCTCCTCTTAAAGCTCAGATTCCAATTACCAAATGCCCCAGACCAAAATGTCCCCCTCCCCTCTGCCCAACCTTCTCATCTGTTACCATCACTTCATAAAAACCGCTTAGAAGGCGAGTTTCCTCCTTGTCTAAGTTCTTTTGCTCTGGGTGCCTTTGCCTAGCAAACGGTACCTTACTATTTTTTTTTTTTAAGATTTTATTTAATATTTGAGAGAGACAGTGAGAGAGGGAACACAAGCATGGGGAGCGGGAGAGGAAGAAGCAGGCTTCCCGCTGAGCAGGGAGCCCGATGTGGGACTCAATCCCAGGACCCTGGGATCATGACCTGAGCCGAAGGCAGAAGACGCTCAACGACCGAGCCACCCAGGCGCCCCGGTACCTTACTATTTTAAAAAGCATTTTGTTACATAAATATGTCATCTTGATATACTGTACTACTTTACTCATTAATATGGTCATGACTCTAAGTCTTGTCTTTTCAAATACAGTTCAGTCTCCACGGGCAGAGGCTAAGTTTTATGCTCTTTTCATATTCCATAATGGTTAGCACATGCTATGGGATCAAAATGTTCCTGCTCAAAGATGTAACAACAAAGAAGATTCTTGGTGCTAGTTTAAGTGTGGGTTCAGGCCTCTGAGAGTGACAAGGGAGGGGAGCAAGCACTCTAAAGCATGAGCATTATGAAGGAAGCACAAATTACAGAGCAGAGACTATGTAGGAAATGGAAAAAGGGACAAAGTATTAATCTCTAAATTTGGCCTCAATACGTCTATATACGTAGCTCATTTTGCATAACAACTGACAATACAGGAGTGACAGAATCAAACCGAGGAGCTGGGACAACTGGATGCTCTTCTTAGTTCTAATCTAGAACACCCTGGGAGAGGCACAGATGCATCAAACGAGGCCCGGCTGCCAGGGTCTACAGCTGCCTGGGGGCTGAGCCTGATGTTGGCTGAGGCTTCCAATCCCACGATCCTTATCCCGTGGTCTTTAGCGGGAAGCTGAGGAAACAGGTGCAAAGAACAGAGGAAGGAGCTTGAAAGGCGCCCATACTCCATAGCAACTAATCTTCTTTCAAAGGTGAAGTGCTTAGCTGGAGTGGGGCACCTCGCCTACAATCAGAAATGCCCTCGATGAAGATATATAAGTGCTTTGTTATTTTTTTTCCTCACTGCTTTGAAACAGAACATACTAATATGCAATCATATCTCAAATACACAAACCACCAACGGATTATTTGCTTAAACTCTCCCCATCATCATCTGTGAATTAGACAGTGTGCCCATGAGCCCTGGTCCTGCTTAGTTTCCAGGGACAAGTACAGATGTCACAAAGAATCTTCTGTTACCGAGGATAACTGTGAAGCTGTCATTCTGTAAAGGTGCCTTTGCAGGCTATGTGTTCTCTATAAAGAACTTTTCAATATTCCCCGATGCCCCATTCCTTCCAAACACTTACTTATCCATTTACTGTTGGGAGCAAATATCACCAAGCTCCTACAAGGACTGCTCTCTGGCTCATAAGCAAAAGCATCCACATTAAAATAGCAGTCTGATTCATAAAGGAACATTTAGAGGAAAACACTCTTCTGTGCCTCTCCTTTTTCTTAATTTTAAATACCCCAAATCTGGGAGTTGAAAAATCAGGCACTGGGAGCAACCGCTGCCGAGGGCCGGAGCCAAGTATCTTCCAACAATAATACAGAAATATCAAAATACCTCTTTCTAAATTGTGAAGCACTGCAAGGATGGGGAGGAAGAGAAACAGCACTGAAAAGGGTAAGGATCAAGGACTTCTTTGTGTTAAAAAACTCAGCAGGAAGCCAATAAATGCAGAGGGCACCTCCCAGCTTCCTGTGTGACTAACTGTCCCCACTAACGTTCAAAATATGACAGGCAAGGTTTTGGAATAAATACCGAGAAAACAAGTTATTTTACCTAAGACAAAATTTTTAAAACAAGAAATAGTACAGGAGTAGGGGAAAAAATATTACAGTTAACTTAAGCTACTGGGACCCTTAACACTGGGGATACAAAATGCTGGGTAGGAAAACAGTAGTGCGGACTACAACTACAAGCAGCTGAAATAAAGGACTTGGCAAGTGAATTTTAACAACTGACATTTTGGGGTGCTTGGGTGACTGAGTTGATTAAGCGTCTGCCTTTGGCTCAGGTCATGATCTCAGGGTCCTGGGATGGAGTCCTGCGTTGGGCTTCCTGCTCGACGGGGAGCCTGCTTCTCCCTCTGCCTCTGCCCCTCCCCCCCTGCTCCTGCTCTCTCGCTTGCTCTCTCTCAAATAAACAAATGAATAAAATCTTTTAAAAAACAAACAAAAAACAACTGATGTTTTATACAAGTGCCACGGATTAAATAATAAGGATTTAAGACATAAATCTACTCTGTGCACATAGGAATGCTTTAAATTCGGATTTCATTGTCCAAAAAAGGGAAAAAAAAACAAAACAAAAAACTGGCTTTTGACCCCAGCACAGCACAGACAGTACTTAGGGTCTACGCCTCACACACTTACGTTGGGCAACAGCGCCTTGAATTCGGTAACCCAAGATAATGGCTGCTCTCTGGATATCTATCTTGTTAATCAGATCTGAAGACTTGACTGCACTGAGTCTTTCTCCATCTTGATCCTCCACAAAGTAGATGAGCTGCACGGGATTGTCATCTCCCTCCAGCCTTGACACGTTTACCATCTGAAAGATAACAGAAACCATTAGCATTTTTGAAGCTCCTGTTTCTAAATGCCCTTGCTCAAGGCACTCTAGCTTGACTGTGTTATTCGGGATTCATTCCCATCCTCATAATGAGCTCCGGATACCATTCTGGATGCCAGAATCCCCACGATGCTCTCAATGGTAAGAGGGACAATGAACGTTACTCTGCACAGAATAACAAATGTGCCTCATCTTGCTCCAAGTCTTCCCTGAGACAAATGGGCAAGTAGGATACAGAGAACACATGGTGGCCAAGTCCAGGCAGTCTAGAATTGCAACCAACCAGCTCCGACACATCATGGGAGAATGCTGCTGTCCTCCCAACATGAATCGTTAATGTTAGGTACATCCCTGGTCCTCGGAAACGACTGTAGGTTCTATCCAATCTCGTCTTGAATCTTATCAGCATTTCCTCTTTTTTTAGGGCACTACCGCCATCTTGGTTCAGTGGGGGGCTAGCCCAAGTACTGCAGGGTATTTAGCAGCATCACCATCCTCCACTCACTAGATGCCAGGACCAACAGCCATATCCTCCCTCAGCAGTTGTGACAACCAAAAATGTCACCAGGTATTGCCAAATGTACCCGGGTGGGGGAGGGAGGACACAAAACCAACACCACTTGAGAATCACTGCTCTCAGGGTGATAAATCTCATAAATTCTTTAATACCCCACTGTCAACAATAGATAGATCACATAGACAGAGAATCAGTAAGGAAACAGCAGATTTGAGCAATACTACGGACTACAGGAACCTAAGAGACATTTACAGAACATTCCATCCACTATCAATAGAATACACATTCTTCTCAAGCACATGTGGAACATTTTCTAGGATACACCATATGTTGGGCCACAAAACAGTCTCAACAAATTCAAGAAGACAGACATTATATCAAGTATCTCTTCTGACCACAATGGTATGAAACTACAATCAATAATAGGAGAAAAGCTGGAAATTTCACAAATACATGGAAATTTTTTTTTTTTAAGATTTTTTTTTTATTTATTTATTTGAGAGAGAGAGAATGAGAGACAGAGAGCATGAGAGGGAGGAGGGTCAGAGGGAGAAGCAGACTCCCTGCCGAGCAGGGAGCCCGATGCGGGACTTGATCCCGGGACTCCAGGATCATGACCTGAGCCGAAGGCAGTCGCTTAACCAACTGAGCCACCCAGGCGCCCCAAATACATGGAAATTAAACAGCACACTCCTGCAAACACCAATAGACCAAAGAAAAAATCAAAAGGGAAATTAAAAAAATATCAAGACAAATAAAAACAGAAAATAAATGCAATACATCAAGAAAAACGAAAGATCTCGGGGTGCCTGGGTGGCTCAGTCGTTAAGCGTCTGCCTTTGGCTCAGGTCATGATCCCAGAGTCCTGGGATCGAGCCCCGCATCGGGCTCCCTGCTCAGCGGAAAGCCTGCTTCTCCCTCTCCCACTCCCCCTACTGTGTTCCCTCTCTCACTATCTCTCTCTCTCTCTCTCTCTCTGTGTGTTAAATAAATAAATAAAATCTTTAAAAAAAAAAAAGAAAGATCTCAAATAAAAAACTTGGGCACCTGAGTGACTCAGTTAAGCATCCAAATCTTGATTTCGGTTCAGGTCATGATCTCAGGGTTATGGGATCAAGCCCCGCATCAGGCTCCACACTCAGTAGTGAGTCTGCTTGAGATTCTCTCTCTCCCTCTCCCTCTGCCCCTCCCTCCTCTAGTGTGCTCGCGTGCTCTCTCTCTCTGAAATAAATAAATCTTCTTTAAAAAACTAACTTTACAACCCAAGGAACTAGGGGAAAAAAGAAAAACCTAAGCTCAAAGTTAGCAGAAGGGAGAAAATAACAAAGATTAGAGCAGAAATAAATAAAATAGAGAATAGGAAAAATTAACAAAACTAAGAGTTGGTTCTTTGAAAAGATAAACAAAACTGACAAATCTTTAGCTAGACTAACAAAGAAAAAAGAGGACTCAAATGAAAGTTATAAATGAAAGAGACACTACAACAGATAATAGAAATACAAAGGATCATAAAAGATTACTCTGAATAATTATACACCAGCAAATTGGATAACCTAGAAGCAATGGATAAATTCCTAAAAACACACCTACTGAGACTGAATCATGAAGAAATAGAAAATGTGAACAGACCAATAAGAATTAAGAAGACTGAATCAGTAATCAAAAACTTCCCAACAACAAAAGCCCAGGACCAGATGGTTTCACTCATGAGTTCTACCAAACATTCAAAGAATTAATACTAATCCTTCTCAAAAATTTCCAAAACAGTAAAGAGAAGGGAACATTCCCAAACTCATTTTATGAGACCAACATAACCATGATACCAAAGTCCACTAAGGACACTACAAAAAAAAAAAAAAAAAAGAATACTACAGGCCAATATCTCTGATGAATTAGATGCAAATATTCCCAACAAAATACTAGCAAACCAAATGCCACAGTACATTAAAAAGATCATGGTACGTGATGTACATGTATGCAACATGGGGCTCCTGGGTGGCTCGGTCGGTTAAGCATCTGCTTTCAGCTCAGGTCATGATCCCAGGGTCCTGGGATCGAGCCCCACGTCAGCCTCCCTGCTCAGCAGTGAGTCTATTTCTCCCTCTCCCTCTGCCCCTCTGCCTGCTTGTGCTCTCTCTTTCTCGCTCGCTCTCAAACACATAAATAAAATCTTTTAAAAAAAAGTCCAGGGACGCCTGGGTGGCTCAGTCGGTTAAGCGGCTGCCTTCGGCCAGGTCATGATCCCAGGGTCCTGGGATCGAGTCCCACATCGGGCTCCTTGCTCAGCAGGGAACCTGCTTCTCCCTCTCTCTCCCTCTGCTTGTGCTCTCGCTGTCAAATAAATAAAATCTTAAAAAAAAAAAAAAAAGTCCATACTATCCAAAGCCACCTATAGATACCATCTATAGCCCTCTGTAGCCATCAAAATTCCAATGGCATTTTAAATATAGAAAAAACAATCCTAATATTCATATGGAACCACAAAAGACCCTGGTAACGAAGGAGCCAAGAATACTCAATGGGGAAAAGATAGTCTCTTCAATAAATGGTGTTGGGAAAACTGTATATTCACAACCAAAAGAATGAAACTGGGTCCCTACCTTATATCACTCACAAAAAATAATTCCAATGGAAAGATTTAAATGTAAGACCTGAAACCATAAAACTTCTACAAGAAAACATAAGGGAAAGGCTCCTTGACATTGGTCTTGGCAATGATTTTCTGGATATAACACTCAAAGCACAAGCAACAAAGCAAAAATAAACAAGTGGACTATATCAAACTTAAAAGCTTCTGCGCAGCAAAAGACAGACGCAACAAAATGAAAAGGCAACCTATGGAATGGGAGAAAATAGGCACAAATCATATATCTGATAAGGGGTTAATATCCAAAATATATAAGGAACTCATATAGCTCAATAGCAAAACAAAAAACAAAAAAACAAAACCCAAACTCTCTGATTTAAAAATGAGCATGAGATCTGAATAGACATTCTTCCCAAAAAGATACACAAATGGCCAACAGGTGTATGAAAAGGTCAACATCACTAATCATCAGAGAAACATAAATCAAAGCCACAATGAGGTATCACCTCACACCTGTTAGAATTGCCAGCATCAAAAGACAAGAGATAGGTGGGGGTAAGAAGATGGAGAGGGCGCCTGGGTGGCTCAGTTGGTTAAGCGACTGCCTTCGGCTCAGGTCATGATCCTGGAGTCCCGGGATCGAGTCCCGCATCGGGCTCCCTGCTCGGCAGGGAGTCTGCTTCTCCTTCTGACCCTCCCCCCTCTCATGTGCTCTCTCTCTCAAATAAATAAAATCTTTAAAATAAAAAAAAAAGAAGATGGAGAAAAAGGGGACCCTTGTGCATGGTTGGTGGGAATGTAAATTGGTGCAGGCATTGTGGAAAACGGTATGGACATTCCTCAAAAAATTCAAAATGGAACTACCATGTGATCCAGGAATCCCATTTCTAGGTATATACCCAAAGGAAATGAAATCCACTATCTTGCAAAGATATCTGCCTACCACCACCCCCCCCCATTCACTGCAGCACTATTTACAGTGGCCAAGACATGGAAGCAACCTAAGTGTCCATCTATAGACGAATGGATAAAGAAGAAGATGTGACGTGATACAGACACACACGCGTGCATGCACACACACACACACACGCACACACACGCACACACACACACATTCTAAAAAAGCCAAACTCATAAAAATAGAGTAGCTGGTAGTTGCCAGGGACAGGAGGTGGGAGAAATGGGTGATGGCGGTCAAAGGGTATGAACTTCCAGCTGTAAGATGAATAAGTTCCAGGGGTCTAATGTACAACATAGTGACCGTAGTTAACAATACCGTGTTATATACTTGAGAGGTGCTGAGTGTAGATCTTAAAAATTCTCACCACATCCAAAAAAAAAAAAAGAGTAATGGATGTGTTAACTAATGTTATTGTGGTGATCACTTTGCAACATATACACATGTCAAATCATCACACTGTACACGTTAAACCTATATGGTGTCGTGTCAATTGTCTTTCAATCAAGCTAGAAAGTTGTGCATAAATTCACAATCACCTAGGTCAAATAGTACTTTGATTTGTCCCAGAATCGATCTCCCTCTGGCGTTCTAGGTAGCCCTTTCACATTAGAACTTCAGAATCTGGTATACTTGCTGCATCACATTCTTACATAAATACATGTTTCTATTTTGTTGCTGCTTCTCTAATAATATGCAACAGTTTTACTGCCCTTTGAGACTCCAGCAAAATGCAGGACTGATGTTTTGGGGCAATATCAACAATGAGTCCAAGCCCTCTGTTTTGTACAAGCAATTTGAATTTTTGGTCTCTACATTTGCCATTGGCAAAATGCAGCTGCTAATTTTCTAGCCACGTGTACAGAATTGTAACCCTGCCCTGCGTTCCGGACACAGCTGAGGGACCCCTCCTTCACCACTGGAAACTTCTGGCAAATCAACAATTTCATGATTTCACTGTGAATGCCTTCTTCAAGATTATTTATAAAGATCCTTACAAATAGGTCCAAACTCTCATCCCTGGAGAATCTGTTCTTTAAACCTCCCCATCCTGACAAGGGCTCATCTATCCTGCCCTTTGTTTGCTATTTCTAGGCTAATTCCCTGACCACTTCTATTCCCTAACCACCTACTCTCTCCCCAAACTGGGCTGTAATGATTAATTTTTTATTAGCCCTTAGAATGGAATACTATCAAAGGACTATGTAAATATTTATTACACTGAAAAGTTCTGATACATTTTAGAAATGGTTTTGCCTTGCAGAAACCAGGTTCCCATATATTTGGGTATATAATTAAAGATAATACAAACTTGTCCAATCTGAAAGCAACAGTCAGTAAAACCTAATTCTAGCATCCTTTCTAGATAACTTCTTATCAGATTCATAGCTGGAATCCATACAACCACAGTAGGACGGAGTCATCATTTTGGGCAACATTTTCAATTTCATTTTTAAAATTATTTTCTGATTAAAATCCCATGTTCACTGTACAAATTACATGCTCATTGGAGAAATTTTGAAAACACACAAAATATATAAAAAATAAAATGAAAATCACCTGAAGTTCAATCAACAAAAGAAAATTATTATAAACATTTTGGCATATTTAATTTTTTTTCATAAGTTTCATATTAATATTTGGATGACAGTGCATGCATTCTTTGGTAACCTCTGTTCACTATATCACTCACTCACTCACTCACTCATTTGTTTGTTTGTTTATTGAGAGAGAGAGTGTGAGTGGGGGAGAGGGGCAGGGAAGAGAAGGGCAGAGGGAGAGGGAGAGAGAGAATCTTAAGCAGGCTCCATACCCAGCGCAGAGCCTAATCTCACGACCCTGAGATCATGACCTGAGCTAAAATCAAGAGTTGGATGCTTAACTGACTAAGCCACCCAGGTACTCCTCAATAATTTTTTTTATTATTATGTTAATCAACATACATTACATCATTAGTTTTTGACATAGTGTTCCATGATTCATTGTTCGCGTATAACACCCAGTCCTCAATTTTTTTAAATTTTTTATTGCTACGTTAATCACCATACATTACATCATTAGTTTTTGATGTAGTGTTCCATGATTCATTGTTTGCGTGTAACACCCAGTCCTCAATTTTTTTAAATTTTTTATTGCTATGTTAATCACCATATATTACATCATTACTTTTTTTTTTTTTTAAGATTTTATTTATTTATTTGAGAGAGAGAATGAGAGACAGAGAGCACGAGAGGGAAGAGGGTCAGAGGGAGAAGCAGAGCCCCCCGCTGAGCAGGGAGCATGACGTGGGACTCGATCCTAGGACTCCAGGATCATGACCTGAGCCGAAGGCAGTTGCTTAACCAACTGAGCCACCCAGGCGCCCTACATCATTACTTTTTGATGTACTGTTCCATGATTCATTGTTTGTGCATAACACCCAGTGCTCCATGCAGAACGTGCCCTCTTTAATACCCATCACCAGGCTAACCAATCCTCCCACCCTCCTCCCCTCTAGAACCTTCAGTTTGTTTTTCAGAGTCCATTGTCTCTCATGGTTCTTCTCCCCCTCCGATTTCCCCCCTTTCATTCTTCCCTTCCTGCTATCTTCTTCTTTTTTTTTTTTTTCTTAACATATATTGCATTATTTGTTTCAGAGGTACAGATCTGTGATTCAACAGTCTTGCACAATTCACAGCACTCACCCTAGCACATACCCTCCCCAGTGTCTATCACCCAGCCACCCCATCCCTCCCACTCACCCCCCACTCCAGCAAATTTTTTTAAAATGACAATGGCTACATAACATTCCAACATATAAAGATTCACTATAATGTATTTACTCATTCTCCAACTGCTGGACATTAGGTTGCTGTAATGCTTTCACTTTTACAGATTATATTTTGATGAAGAGTCCTGCACTGTTGTCTACACTGTCTACTACTTGTCTACATCTCCACACTGGGTCACTCTAAGGGGGAAGAGATGTGGGGTGCAGTCCCTATGCAATCCATCAGATGGCACCGCTGGCTGGGGTGGTTTCATTCACGCCCACAGACCTCACATTCCTACCTGAGGGAGTTTGCACAATTAATGTAGCATAAATTAACCTCCACCAAGACCTTGAGCTCCACGAAGCCAGGGCTGCTAAATAAGGCGAGGCTTTTACAAGTCATTTTAATTTCTTCCTTCTTTCATGCTTATTTAATGTTACTCTCAATTTTTTATTAGTTTTTTAAAAATTTCTCTATAGTCAACTGCAGCTGGCAAAGGAACTACTCTGGGAGAAGCAATCAAGAGCAATGCTTATGGGGAAAACTCGGTAAGAGGGTCACAGGACAATGCCACCAGCTCAAGGCAAACTCGCGCCGCCCCCACCCACGTCAGCTGTGCATCTTTCTCGCTGATGCCCCCAAACCACCCACCTCTCTGCCCCTGCACTTCCTTTCACCCCACTTTCCTGTCTCTGTGATGCCATAGCTCTAAATATCCCGTTTTCCTAGCTCTAGAAGTCAGCAGTCAATAAAGAAAAAAATCCAAAATAACAGAATTCACATTGAGATGGGAATAAATTACAGCCTGAACCTCCAACTCTCTGCGAGCATGTGCATTTTTAATGGATCACTTTCGGATTCAAACGAATCTGTTGTTTGTAACCTTCCTGCTAGTTTACAAAATGGACTGTAGGGTGACAGATGGTAACTAGGCTTCTTGCAGTGGTCACTTTGAGGTGTATGCAAATATCAAATCATTACCTGAAACTAATATAATATATATCAATTTTACCTCAATTAAAACAACAACAACAACAAAAGTGGAGACAATCGGGTAACATGACTGGGTTGTCAGGAGGCAGGGAGGATGAAGTGCTAGAAGGGAGGGCACAAAATTCTCCTCTCTCCGATCCCTTACGGTCTATTCCACTAGATGATTTATAACTATGATGCTCATGTTGATGGCATGGCAACCCAGTGACACAATTCTCTTGCCATGCTCCCCACGGGTTTATCCGTCTAGACTCCAGTCGAACTGAAATGCTGCCACGCTCATTTGTTACCTGATAGAGTCATCAGTCCAAATTTAGAATTTTCTCATGGCATTTTCCATTTGCATGAAAATACTGCATGTTTTTAGAGAAATCTCTTCCCCTCCTCCCCTGGCCATCTTAGAGTACCTGCACCACGCTGTTCCCGGCAGCGATGGTGGCCCTTCTCCACATCCGCCTCCGGGTGGACACCTCACTGAACAGCTGGGCCAGCTTGCGCTCCATCTCAGCCTGAAACACTTCATTCTGGAGCTGCTTCTCGACAACGCCCAGGAGAACTGCATTTACAAAATGAAACACACGCAGGCCCCAAAACAAGTTAGCAGTGGAGGAAAAGTGAGTGTGTGTAGAAGACAAAATTAATGTTGGATTCCTATGAAGTGCCCATCCCTAGGGAGGAGACATTAAGAGGAGGAAAAAGTGAACATGAACGGGGTCATGGGGAGCCAGGAAGTGCTGCTCAGGGGTCTTATTTACAGTTCCAAGCTCTGTTACACAGACTGGTGGCCAGAAGTCCCAGGAACTCAGCAGCATAGAAGCTTTGGAGCTAAGAACTCCCACACAAGAGCAAATATTTTATCCATCCTTATTTTAAAACTTCTGGAAATGCTCTGAGTTCTTATCTTATCTAGACTCAAGACTTAGATGCATAAACTGACCCGAGACAAGGGTGCCTGTCTTAAAACATCTGTGGTAAACAAGATTATCAAACAGATAATGGGCTTGTTAGCATATCCTCAGAGAAAAACCCCTGAGCTTTTCAGCCAGAACTGGCCCAAATCTGCTGAGACAGGACCATGGACAAGTCTCTGAAGTGCTGTGAAAATGGTCTGGAACATGGGGCCACTGTACCAGGCAAAGAGGTGGAGCCCTTACATGGGGAGTTGTATGTGAAGCAAGGAGAACTTGCAGGGTCTGAGAAGCCACAGACGGTGATCATTATACGGCACACATCCTCCCCACGACCACTTACTTACCCAGCCGCTCACACGCTGGGCACACAGTGAGTGTGTCACTATCTCTTATTCTTTGATTACCCCGTGAGAAAGCCTTTATCCACAATGCCATAGCTATAAATATCTGACCCAGGCCCACAAGACTTTTTAAAAAACCTTCTTATTTGCTCACCGAGCTACCTTATTCATCCTCATAAAACCAAACAAATAAGGCTCTTTAGAAAACAAAAAAAGAGAGAGAGAGAGATCCTTGCTTTGGAACTCCATCCTGTTCTGGATCAGAAGACTCAGTTCTTCTTAGACCTTCCCCTGGACTTGATGTATGAATTTTAAAGAAAGCCAATCCTTTTTGTGCCATAACTCAGTGGGACACATTCCCACAGCTGAATCTGAATTCCCTTCTCATTCATTCTTTGCCAAGAATTTAAGGGACATGATGCCCTGAATTTAGGACTCAGAAACAAGAAAGTCGGCATCATGCTCGATACACCCGCCCAGACTTTTTATTCCTACAGTTCCCAAAACATTATGTAAGTCAGACATACCTGTTCTCACCCAGGAGGACTTCAACAACTGAGATAAGTTCAGCTGCGGGTACTGGAAGGCTATAAAAAGGAAAGGAGGGAAATCCGTGAAAACATGTTCGCACCCATCAGGAAGGTAAAGTCTAGGGAGTACCCGGTAAGTCACAGTACTTCGCCTTTCTTATACCTTTTAGCACAAAATGTGTTAGAACAAAATGCCAGACTGGTGTGAAGGCACGGACAATATGCAGTTTCTGAGCACAAGAGTCTCCAGAAGAAAGGCGGAGAAAAAGAAGTAAAAGGCTGGTTCGAGTGTCACCAAGTGACAGAGCCCGGCTGCCCGCCCGCCTGCAAGTTCCCCTTGAAATCTCATTGTTCCAGAGCAATGAGATTTCACACTGTGCTCCCCGGGGCCCTAGGGTTTCCCAGCAATGACTCCGGGTAAAGTGACCCTATGTCCTGGCATGGCTCGTACAGTCCCGGGGTACCCCTGATGTCCAGCATACTATTTTACCCATACCTGCACTGCACAGAATGAATAGGCGCTATTTGTAAAGAACAGTTTTTATCCCTGCCCATATACTTTGGCATCTGACAAGTTATCCTTTTTCATTTAATTAACCGCACACTAAAACACATAAAAGTCATTAGACCATTTGGCTGTTCCATTTTTGAAAAAGAATTTGATGTTTAATAATGCAATATATGTTAAGAAAAAAAAAAAGAAGAAGATAGCAGGAGGGGAAGAATGAAGGGGGGGAAATCGGAGGGGTAGACGAACCATGAGAGATGATGGACTCTGAAAAACAAACTGAGGGTTCTAGAGGGGAGGGTGATGGGAGGATGGGTTAGCCTGGTGATGGGTATTGAGGAGGGCACGTTCTGCACGGAGCACTGAGTGTTATGCACAAACAATGAATCATGGAACACTACATCTAAAACTAATGATGTAATGTATGGGGATTAACATAACAATTTAAAAAAAAAAGAATTTGATGGTTTTTTGGCCTGATTTCAACCCTGGGATCTACTGTTTTTTGAAGTAAATGTTTTCCCCACCCCCACCCCGCTCCATTTGCACCGTGATTCTAATTGCTTCAGCCAGGAAGAAAGGTTTTGTTGTTTTATTTTTCTTTTTTTAGTTTTACGCGTGCATGCAGTAAAATATACTCTTTCTGGTGTACAGCTTTATGGCTTTTGACAAATGCACAAAGTTGCATAACCACCACCACATTAAAGATACAGAACAGGCTCATCAGCCCCCAGAAGTTGCCTTCTGCTACTCTTCTGCAGTCTAGCCTTCCTCCCACCCATCTCCCGGGCAACCACAGGTCTGTTCTCTATGCCTCTGGTTTTACCTTTTCCAGAACTTGTGTAGGCTTTACCAGTGCCCTTTACTCTCATAGGACAATAATAAAACAAGGCCAGTGGGTGAGGAGGCCTCTGGAGGCCCACCCTGAACTGACTCTGAGATGCTCCGATTTTATCTGATTTATACTCTGGACTTCAGCCAAATATTTCAAAAGAGGCCCAAGCAATGAAAATACTTGCGGCCACTTTCCCAGCACTTTGCGAGAGAGCCGTACTCACGTTCGGCGATCTGGAGCACTGGGTACCCCAGGTAGAAACTGAACTCCACCACGCTCAAGTTTCTGAGCAGCTGGCTCACTTCTGTCCCATTCAGAAACCCCTGCGTGCCCCTGACGGCAAAGACGATATTCACCGGGCCCCGCCGAGGAGCCGGCCTTGACGCACCCATGGTGATATTCAAGATCTAAAAAGAAGGAAGGTGGGGTAAGCTTCCAAAAGAAAGCAAAACACCGAGCTAAAAGCCGATGATTTCTCTCTCACAATTTCTCTCATTGATTTTTTTTTTTTTTTTTTGCTGAAAGGAGGTAACGTTTTTCAAAGGAACGAACTAGCTCCACAACCTGGTTCCCGTCTGCAATACTTAAAATTCTCAGTTTACTGAAAATGTTTTTCCCATGAAGTGATGAACTGAACACATGTATTTATAGTCCCTCCGCGCCCCTCCCACCCCAAATCCCCCTGAAATAATAAGCTGAACAAAGGGGAGCAAATCTACAACAGCTCTGAGAATGGAAGAAAATCAGAGATTTCTGTCAAATTCCTGGAAGATGGAGAGAGGATGGGATCATAATGATATAAACCAGAACTGAGGGAACTGAGACCCAAATCATACACAGGCATGGAGCGCAGGGGCAGAGAGCCGGTTCCCCCGGGGCCCCGGGAGAACTCTGCAGGAACGGACACCAGAGGAGGCCATGAACAGCAGTCAGTACAATTAATCAATGCCTGTATACCAAAGAGCTGAGCTGATTCTCCCTCTTCTTCCCTTCTAATTGCCACAGGCAAGGCAACACAGAAGTGCCGGCCAAGCCACATCTGCACCCTGACCTGCCCAAAGAACCACTCCCTAAGGAAAAGGAGCTCCCCGTCAGAGCAGGCTAACAGACCGTGTGGGTTTGGCCCCTAAGAAGGAGGGTAGAGACTTCTATCCACCAGAGCACACAAGAGACAGAGAAGGAAAGAAAACGAAAGAAAGGGCAGCTTTGCTGCAAAAAGTACACTGAAGCGCTCCATCCCCAGAAATCCTTATCCTGCACTGGGGCAGGGGTCCCAGGCTGCCCCACCATCCTCATCCTCTGCCTGGGACCCAGTGCTCCAGGGAATCGTCCCATCGGGAGACAGGGCAGATATAGACACAGACACCACAGCTGAACGGGAGAGCTGGCCAAAATTAACAACCTGCTTCTTCACTCCTAACAGCGACTAACCAAAGGTCTCCAAATATTTACGGAAAACTAGGAGCCCGAACGCCAAGGACCAAGATCAACAGAGAACAATGGCTGCAGGGAAAACAGAGACAACGTGGAAACCAGAAGGCAACTTTTAACAAATGCTCATTAATGTCCTCGGAGACTTCCTAGGTGATTTTGCATCATCATTCAAAATAATCCTGCATCTTTGTAGGAGAAATCACCATGAAAAAAGGAGCCAAGAACAACAGACAAATGACAGCTGAGAGCAAATTCAGCAGAGGGACTGAAAAACATGATGGACAGAGCTGAAGACGAAATTAATGACTCAGAGGACAAAGTTTAGGAATTTAAAAAGAGATGGTACTATAAGAAAACATAAGAATTATGAAACATGGCTCCAAGTTTACAAAAATTTAATATAAATTCTAGAAAGAGAGAACAAAGGATACGGAGAAAAAATATCAAAGAAATATAACAACATCAGGGGTTTCCATACAATACACACAAAGCCTGTTCATTCCTGAGTGGCTAGATTCTGTTTTTAGCGTGAAGCACTGCATTTCGTGGTCCCTCATAACATGAAACACCGTGTACTGAGGCACTCCCCCATTGGGTATTTAGGTTGATACCGTTCCTTCTTAGAACATTCTTGTGTTTCCGGCATATGCTCATCTCTGTCCAGCTCACCACACCTGAGCTCCGTGGTCATCCTACTGCTCCGTAATCTTCAAATACGCCTAGCCTATTCACACTACGTGAACTCGGTGCCCCGGAAAGAGATCGACCTCGATTCATGTGAACTGAACTTCTTCCATGAGAGGAAGAGTTAATCGTGGCCTCAACAAACATGTGAAACGAGTTCCTCTTTAAAGGACAAAGCACCGGGGCGCCTGGGTGGCTCAGTCAGTTAAGTGTCCGACTCTTGATTTCAGCTCAGGTCATGATCTCAGGATTGTGAGATTGAGCCCTGTGTTGGGCTCCACAGTGGGTGTGGAGCCTGCTTGGGATTCTCTCTCCCTCCCCCTGTGCCCCTCCCCTAAATAAATACATACATACATACATACATACATACATACATACTCGTATCTACACAGATGATGATACTACAGAACACCAAAGACAGAGAGAAACTGTAAATGAGTCAGAGGAAAGGACTGCAATTAATCACCATCACATAACTACTTCCCAGAACTAGGAGCCAAGTGACAATGAAATAAAATTTTCAAAGTACTAAGAGAAAATATCTGACATCTTAGATTTGAACAACCAACAATACTCTCTATTTGTTAAAATAGGGACATTTTCTGATAAACAGAAAGTGATTATACCAACAGAAGACCTTCAGTAGAGGGGCCTCTCTAAGCAAGGATATACTTCAAAAGGAAAAGTAATTACCCCAGAAGGAAGATCTGAGAAGAAAGAACAAAAGATAAATAAATGATAAAGATATGGCTAAGTCTAAACAATACTGATGGTATAAATGAACAATACTGCTACGTAATTTGTGAGGTTAAAAAACATACTACAGGGACGCCTGGGTGGCTCAGTCGTTAAGCGTCTGCCTTCGGCTCAGGTCATGATCCCAGGGTCCTGGGATCGAGTCCCACATCGGGCTCCCTGCTCAGCGGGGAGTCTGCTTCTCCCTCTCCCACTCCCCCTGCTTGTGTTCCCTCTCTTGCTGTGTCTCTTTCTGTCAAATAAATAAAATCTTTAAAAAAAAAAAAAAAAAAAGGACAAAGCACCTTGTTCTGCATTCAGTGCTATTCTCACCTGCACGGTGAAGTTATGCGTCCCCTGGTGGTGTTTTCTCACTTCAGAAAGAGCTATCATCAGGCCTTTCTCGATGCGCTGGGTGAAGTTGCAGAAGCTGGTATCCACACTCTGAGGCACGAACTGAAGAACTAGAAGGAGGACAGCAATCACAGGCCCATGAACCAGGCACTGGTTTAGGACTGAGGAATGAGGAGGCAAAAAATACTACCTAACTCAAAAAACGCCTCCATAGCATGGGATTAGGTACTGAGAGGTAGTATTTAGCGGTCTCCTAGTAGGGAAACGGAGAAAACCAACTCTGCCCCAAATGAATACATACAACGTGAAGGTGACTTGTATCTTTTAAAATGGAAAAAGATAACAATGGGAGCATCAAAAGATGCAAGTGACTGAAACATTTCAAGTATGAAATGTGAAAATACTCTCAACTCCTCAAAAAACACTGGGGGGGGGATAGATGGAACAATGGGAACATATTCAACTGTGGATATGTGTGTGTGAGTGTATTCAATAATCTTCATCTCTTAGAGGCATGAGCTGAAATACTTATGGGTGAGATGACATGATGCCGTATCAAAATAACGTGGGAGGAGGGCACATAGGTATCACAAGACAGACGAGGAGGTGAAAATTGTTGAAGCCGTACGATGAGTACATGGAGGCTCATTCAACTATTCTGTGCCCTTTTGTATATGCTAGAAGTCTTCTGTAATTATAAAGGCTTTTTTTTAATTTAAATGAATTGTTTAAAATCCTCCCCCAATTTTTTAACAATGTAAAAAATAAAATAAAATTTTATTTACAAATCAATCAAAACAACTATGCTCAGTTTTCTCACCCGTGTGAACTTGGAACCTGGACTCTGGCACAAGGAAGGAAGGTTTCACAGCCAGGATTAAAGGAGTTTGGTCACGTACAAGTTTACTGTTTATAAGTACATTTATGACTGATATTGCCGTGTAAACGAAAGGCCCCGATGTTACCAGGAAAGTGAAGTCAGCGAATAGTTCATAAACCTATGAAAATTTAAAAAAAAACACAAAAGACAGTAATTATCAAATTTGAGAGGGCTGTACCTCAAAATTAAAGGAAGCTGCATGAAGTAGAAAAACAACAGAGCAAGTAAGGTAAAAAATAAACAGGTAGCTTTAAATGAAGGGGGAGGGCTGCATAGACAATCAAAATTTTATTTTAGTTATCCCTTTTACAGATCTGCCAACCGTCTCAAAAACAGCGTAAAATTACAAGAGCAAAAACAGCGAGAAAGAACAGCCAATAATACGAACTGAATAATGAGTTACGGAGAATTCAAAGTCGTTGTATTTAATCCACATGTGAAGGAACACTTATCTGTTGAGCAGGGCTGTCCAAAAGAAGTTCATGAGCCACATATGCAGTTTTAAAATTTCTAGTAGCCACATTAAAAAACGTAAAAAGAAACAGGTGAAATTAATTTTATTTAACCCAATACATCTGAAATATCATTTCAACATGTGGTCAATGCAAAAAATTATTAGATGGTTTACATTTCTTTTTTCACTCAGCCTTTGAAATTCTGTGTCAGTTTTGCACTTACAGCATGTCTCAATTCAGACAAGCCCCATTGCACGTGCTCAGTAGCCACATGTGGCTCGTGGCTCTGTTCAGGATGGTGCAGGTATAAAGCATGGCTTTCTGACCTCATCAGGGGAGAGGGGGTAGGAGCACAGGGTCCACTGTGTATGGAAATCTATCTCTATCCCACTAAGTCTACAGAAATACGCACACGCACTCACTCTAAAATCTAATTAAAATTCTAATCCAAGTCCTTTTACGTAATTCAAGGGAATCATCACGTCATCATCCCCAACTCTGGTCTTAGAGCCTTTTTGCTCCAATTCTGCCAACACATCCCCCCAGTGGACTACACCTGGCCTCAGGTGGGATCAGGGCTTCCCTGATGAAGCGACGTTCGAGTGGCTACCCAGAATGAGCGGGTGTTCACCAAGAGAAGGAGGGAGGAGAGGATAGGGAGCGTTCTAGAACCATGACATGCCTTCAGCCTGAGCTCCCGAGCCACAGGCACCCACCTTGAGCTCCACCGCCCGGTTGAAGTGAATCCTCAACACCTCTTTGATGGACGTGATGATGTACTCCTGCACAGCTCTTCTGGCCAGCACTACAAACCAAAGCCAACCACCAAACGCAGTTTAGTTTCATTATGAATAATGTGGGCGTCACACTTCTGGTCCCCAAAGCAGAGCCTGTGCTCTGCCAAACTGTGACAGCCGCTGCCAAAATCATTTTGTAAAAATCAGGCCCAGACTACGCAAGAACAGGGGAACGGCTGTGGATCTGGACATTCCCAGGTGTTCTGTCTCTTGGCTATGCCCCTAATGGTAAAACACAAAGTTTTAAAACTCTCAGCAGTAATATTTTAAAAGACTTTAAGATGTTACTCAGCAAAACTAGATGACATCTTCCCCTGTAAAATGAGGTCTCCTACCTCAATTTTTCAATGCAGTAAGGGAAGGGTTTTCACCACTAATAACGGGGCGGGAAAGATTTTCACGATCCCCATGTATTAAAATTTTATGTAGGAAGTAAAATATTTCTTATAACAAAGCCTAGCTATATTTAGCTCTCCTTCCACATCTAAGAAATTCTATTTTAAAATGTGTAATAAGAGAGCCTCTTTCTCAGTATTTAGTAAACATGTCTTGCTGCTCCCCCTTCTTTTCCCTATTATTTTTTCTTTCCTCTGCCATTAACTTCTCATAATGCAGAATCTAAATACGTTTGAAATTATTATTCGGTTTTCTGCTTCCTATTCTTGATTTTTAAAACTGGAGACAGGGAACACCTGGGTGGCCCAGTGGGTTAAGCGTCTGCCTTCGGCTCGGGTCATGATCCCAGGGCCCTGGGCAGGGACCCCACTTCTCCCTCTGCCTGCTTGTGTGTACTCTCACTCTCTCTCTCTGACAAATAAATAAAACCTTTAAAAAAATAAAAATAAAAAATAAAACTGGAGACAGAATCGCTCTGTATCTTCCATTCTTTTTTAAAAAAAAAAACATTTAAGTTACATTCAGTTGTTTTCTCTACTGATCGATGACCTTGATAGTAAGCACGGGAAAGGGCTTTTTTAATTCATAAGACCATTAGAACAAATGCAGACACCCTGACGGTGTCTGCTGACACACCAGTGGCCAACTTGGCCTGGACTACAAGGGCTCCAAGAGGACAGACTACAACATGGGTTTTAAAGGGAAGGACAAAAATGAGTGGGAAGGAAAAGAAGGGAAAAGGAGGAAGGAACGGAGGTACAGAGGGACAGAGAAATAGAGGGAGGGAGAGAGGAAAGACCGGAGGGAGGGAAGGAAAGATCTCAAAAGCTAAACTTGGGGAATGGAGAGACAGAATGGAAAATCAGAGACAGAAAAACCCAAAAGACCAAAGGAAGAAGTACACGTTGCAAGTAGCCCCATCTAAAGGGTGAACCATCCAAGTATTACTCTGAATAGTCTGCACGACCCACCATGAAAACCTACACCTTCTCTAGTTAATCTAAGTAAGATCTAAACTATAACGTCAGGGTATGAGCACAAGGGTCTTTGGGGGAAAAGGATCATCGACAACAAATATCTGTTTCTCCAAATATCTAGTTTGGGCCAAGAGAGGCGAAAGAGCCCTGCTGAGGAGGCCAGGGTCCGGCAGGTCCTGGGTAGGAAGCACAGCCTCACCCCCTAGAGGATAAACATGGTGAAGTGCTCTCTCAAGAGTCCACCACGGATCAGCGGAGGGCTCTTACTTTTATGACAGAGCTCCATAAAAAGAACCCTTTCAGAGGACAAGTAATCACCCCAACCCTCTCTCTCTGATAATTACTAAAAGACTAAAAGAAACCAAGGCCAAATCTAAATGAAGATTCTAAATGAGGTGATCCTTCCTAGGGCTCAAAGATAACCACTGGGAGCAAAAGATAGCATTCCTGTCCACTTAAAAATACAATGTAACACTAGGGATACTTATGCACAACTCCCCATATTTACTACACCTGTTGAAGTGTACATTTACAGTGAGTGAATTCTACCCCAAAAGCTATTGCAAATACTCGGATCCCTAACAAAGAACACCAAATTCATTAAATGTATATCCTCTACGACAGTTAATCCAGGCTATATATGTCTGATATTCTTAGAGATCTTCTAAAATGGTTTCTAATTATTTGTAGAAAAATTTGAAAAGACACATTACGCCTACAAGTATCATAAATGTCACGAAATCCAAGAAATAAAGAAGCTTTCAGTAGTTCTTTTAATAAGCTTCTTGTAACTGACCACTTTGTGGTTACTATGTAGTAATGCTATAGAAAAGGAAGAAAAGTATCATGTCTATGAGAAACTCTTCTCTCTCCTCTGGACTACTGTTTTCCCACAGACGAAAGTTCACCACTAGCCCCAACCTCGTCTCCTAGCATAATTACTTCCTCCTCCCATTTCACAGTCTAATTACCAGCCAAGCTGAATGTTGTTGGGCTGCCTGACCTCTCCACCTGTGTTCACGCCTTCCACCAGAAGGACACTTCCCTTCATCTCCAGACGACAGCCCTCTTGAGTGTGCACCTCCAATTCACATCCTTCCAAACCCATCCCTCATCATCTATCTCAAAAGTCACTTTCATAGAACTCTGCTTCAACCATTCTTATCACAACTTCCAAGAAAACATGGCTTGTGTCTACCCTACTAGAATCTAAGCTCCTTGAAGGTCAGATCCATGTCATTCATGTAGATTACTCTCAAACCTTCTAAAGGCATAATCATTTGTCAAATGAATTAATAAATGGTTCCTTATTTAGGGGAGGGAGGGAGTTAAGAGAGTAAAGGCTTCAGCTTCTCCCCACGACCTCAGAGGGTGGTGGCACCACCATGATGAGCAGAGGATGCATGGCCTACCTCACAGCATGATCTCCTTCTCCTTCCTCACCTTACGTTTCCCTGTTCTTCTTCCTTCTCCGCTCCACTCCATTCCTCCTCTACTTCTATCAACTTCTTTCCCCTTCCTTCATTTCTATCCTCCATTCCCACCAAAATCAACAACACACAGAGCCAGGCTGCACATCAATATTATATTGTATTTAAGTATATTAACAGGTCGCAAGACTTAACACGCAGCCTGTCATTCCTGATGAAGAACAAGCTGGAGAACCCAACCAAGAAGGCCACAGTCACTGGACACGTACAGATATGACGTCAAACGTGCTCTGATTTCACGAGACTAAAGCAGCTGGGCAGATACAAGGGAAGCTGCTGCTTGTCAGCCAGTCACTCGGGCTGTGGACCAGGGTGGAGATCAAAGTTTATAACTGAGATCAGACATTTAGCTGCTCCCTGTTTCTTTCTCGGAATCTCAGGATCTAAGTGACATTTACAGGAACACGTAGGGGCAAAGTGCTCCCTCCTTTCAAGGAAAAGAGTAAGAAATTGTAGCGGTTGCCCTTACACATTTGTGCATCTGCTTGAGCTAAACACGAAGGTTTTTGTTTTAATCGTGCCATCTACGCATCCACCAGGCTATGAGTTCCAAAGGCAAAGATCCTAGCAAACGCTCCTAAGCCTCCATCTGAATCTTTCATCTCTCTTAGTGCTACTACTAATATGTAGCATTTTGTGGGTGTTTCTTATGTGCCAAGCACTGGGTTAAGTACTTTATGTGCAATGATGCATTTAAATCTTTACAATAACCCAACAACGTAGATGCCACAGTTATCCTTGTTTGACAACTGAGGAAACCGAGAGGTCAAGAGACTAACTGTCCAGAGAACTCACAGGAGAAAGGGGAAGGAGTGAGGGTTACCACCCAGGGGCTCCCTGGGGCCGAAGCCCCCGCTCTTTCCCAGGATGCTGTATGTCACAGAGGCATTCCGTACAAGCACCTGAGAAAGATCACCCCAACCAAGAGGTGACTTGAAGTGGAGCCTTACCGGTTGTGATCAAATAGGCATCGGGAACTGTAATATCACACACATATGGCGGCTTGGTGGTGACCGGTGCCGGATTATCAACAGTTGCTTCAGAAGTGGAGGTGGGCACGGGATGAAGGGACGGCGGGGGTCGCACCGAACTGCTCTCGGGGGGGTTCTGACTCGCAGTTCTGCTGCTCGGGGTGCTGTCAACAGTCCGATCAGGGGCAGCACTGGTGTTGGGTGAGGTGGGTTCCGTGGAGGTGTTCATTGGTAAATCTGTGGGTGTGAATGACGGGCCCACGAATATTGGCTCTGTAGGAAGAGGTGAGGGGACCACCTCAGAAACAAACGAGGATGCTGACGACAGGTACGCATCAGTGACCAGCAGTGTGGGACTGGCAATGACTTTGGAGAAAGAGGGGAAGACAGGTGAGCGGTCACGCGTAGCACTGACTTCGTCACTGGAAGGTGCTGGAGTTGGAGCTGGAAAGAGAGAAGATTCTGCTAAAATGGGTGTCGGATGAAAAGCAGTCAAAGGTGACGGGAAGTGAGTCCCAAGAGCCAAAATGTCAAGGGTGGGCTCAGACCTGGAGGGCACCAGGGTGGTGACCGCAGAGTCACGGGCAACGAGTGACAACTCGAAAGAGGAGGTAGTGTCAGTGAGGGCTGCGGTGAGAGGAGCTTCGGGACCTGTCGGGGGAACCGCTGCGGCTTCAGAGGACTTGAGAGCATCAGAAGGGAGGCTTGAGAGGCGCGGCATCTCGGAGCAGCCAGGGAGGAACGCGAAGGTTCGTAAAAGAAGGTCTGAACTCGGCCGCGGCTGAGAACATTCAGAGTCTGGGGAGGGAGGGACGGAAGGCGGGGCGGACGGCGCACGGAGAGAGCCGGGCCACGCGAGCGTCTCAGCCGCGGCAGAGGACGCCTGAGAAGCGAAAGCGGCCGCCGCACTCGCTGTCCCCACAGTCGCAGGGGCAAGTCCTTCTGACGGTGAAGGGGCCAGGCTGCCGAGCTCCAGCGCTGGCGTTGAGAGAAAACCGGCCGCGGACGCCAGGGCCCGTGCGGCTTCACGTGCCGGAAAGCGGCCAGGCTCCGGGCCAGGGAGCAGCGAAGGCTCCCCGGACGCGCCCCGAGCGGAAGCCGGAGGAGAAGGCCGTGGGTCCCCGCGAGCGGGCGCGGGGCGCTTGGGGCCCGCGGGGCGCGGGACGGACGAGCCGGGCAGCACGCGGCTGGCGACCCAGGGAGGCCCCGGCGGTTCGGCGACGGGGGAGGAGCCCAAGGGCGCAGGATCGGGTGACGCTGGCGCGGAGAGGCGGCCGCGGGAAGGAGGCACCGCGCCGGCCCCGCCACGCCTCGCAGCCGCCGCGGCTGAAACCCCGCCGCTCGTTCCTGAGGCGCCCGCGGAGGGAGAAGAGAGTGCAACCGCCGGCCGGGAGGGGAAACGCGGCTCGCAGTCCCGCGGCTCTTCTCCGAAATCCGGGAAGTCCGCCCCCCCGCGGCTGGGCGGAGAGACGCCGCGCGCCCCCGCGGCGCCCACCGACAGGGTCTCGGCGCCGTCCCCCGAGCCCGCGTCCTCCCCCCCCGGGAGGCTGGCTGGCGCGACGAGCCGAGGCGACGCCACGCGGCAGGACACGCAGCCCGTGCACGGCGGGCTCAGGCCGCGAGCGTCGTCCTCAAGGGCTGCGACGACCACTGCGTCGCCCGGCAGCTCCGACGTCTCAGCGGAGCTGCCGGGGAGAGGGGGGTGAGAAGAAACATCCGCTGATGGAGGAGAAGAGGACACGGAGGCGGGAGAAGAGGAGAACAAAGCCGAATTTGGGCTGCCGCCACTGCAAGCCAGGGCCATCTGTGCCAGAGCGGAGGCAGGCTCTGTTCTAGAAAGGATGGTTCCTTCTAGACTACGACTCACAGCTGTGGTCGCCTCAGGGTATCTGGCCGTGGCCGGAACATCCTCTGGAGGCGGTGGGACCTCCGCCCAGGAGGGCAAAGGCTGCTGAGTCAGGCCACTGCCTAAGGGCAGAGGCTCTGCAGACAGAGAGCTAGAAGGAAGGGTTTCTGCCTCCTCCGTGCCTGAAGCCACAATCTCCGGCCAAGTCCTGCTCGCTGAGTGCCCGTAAGCGTCAGTAGGATAAAGCACCAAGTTCCTACCAGGAGTTGGAAGCAGGCCCTCGGATGTGGGAAAAGCTGACCGAAAAGCACTGAAATGACAGGGGGATTCGGGATACGTTGTTGGTTGTTGCATTGTGTTCTGCCACGCTGATGTCATCTGTTGGTCTTGTAAAGAAATAATGGGTGAGGATGGAGTCAGCGCCGGCGGGCTGACCGGGAGATACCGAATCGGAGAGACCACGCGGGAAGTGGTCCAGGGAGCTTCTGGCAAAAAGTTATCCATCTCATCATCCTCTCTGACCACCGCATTGCTCATCATCGACACATAATTTGCCACCAAGATGCTGTGATCTGCTATACTCTGGGTCATTGCTCCTTGGTTAAAAAAGATTGTATCAAAAATAGTGGTGGATGGAGATGATATGACGTGGAGAGAACTGCTTTCCTGGGACCCTGGGGCAGTTTCTGTTAAGGCCACATGTGCAGTGCTGTGCACGGTGCTTTTCTTCATCATGAGCTCCACGGAGGATAAAGAGAGGTTTTGCTGTTCCAGAAAGAGCTCATCTACAAGGGAAGTAAAAGCTGGGTTAGTTGCAAGGCAATCAAAGTCATATTGCCAACACTGTTTCAAAATCTCCACTCACTGTGAATATGCACAACACACAGAAGTTAAAACAGCTAATTGGGAGCCAGAAATTGCCAGAATTACACTCAGGGTAATATCTGCAAATATTCATAACTGTGAGCTCTACCTTTACTTAAGCTTGTGTGTAAGCAGACATTAACATTTTTTTCTCTGACTTGCAAATGACACCACAGAAGACTGGATATAGAGGAGGTCCTGGGAGGTTGTCTAGTCCATTCGGTCTCATTTATCACACAAGAAAGAGAGTTCAGAGAAGGTAACTACATCAGTTACATGATCACCCAGAGGTGAAGCTGGAAACTCAATATCAGCCTGTCTTGATTCCCAAGCCCACGTTCCTGCTCTTCCACAAGAGCCAGCTCTCAAGAGAAATGAACATGACAAGTCTGACAGCATCACTCACTCCCCAGGTAAGAGTTCAAAAGATCCTAGTTTAGGGCTGCCCACACTGAGGCCCCCGACTACCTCCAGGCTCAGCTCTCATCATTCCCTGCTCCACTCTCACACCTTCCTGACTACCTGCAGTTCCCAAATCCAAATTCCCTCTGGCTTAGCGACTCTGCACATTCTTCTCCCTCTGCTTGGGATGCCCTTCCCTGGCTCTCCACTTGAATCACTCCTACTGGTCCTGCAGATTCCACATAGACACCACCTCCCTCCTTAGTACTCTAAAGTTGAGTCCGTGCCTCTCCTGAGGCTTCTACCTGCCGTATCCCTTATCATCCCTCACTGAAATGAATTGTCCACTCATTACACTGTGACCCTCTTGAGGACAAGGACCGTCAATCTGTTTTCCCAGTGCCTACCCCAGTGAACAACACATAGTGCAAGCTCAATAAGCATCTGTTAAATGAATGAATAAATAAAGGAGTGAATGGTGAGGACCGAGTTCTGATATGTGCCAAAAGCATCCTATCGTCCTCTCAAAACTTCCACATTCTTTATCCTTGTCACAGCCATCATTATCATAGAAGTGGTTGAGGTATCTCCACCTATCATTCAAATACAGTGTATACAGAGGCAGGATCTGTAATGGCCCAAACCCCTATTGAAGACCTAGAGCACAGGGTACTGTCCACTGCAACAGAGGCTGGGGACTGAGCAACTATCATGACCCATAATAATACCCTCCTCTTGCTTATCCAAACAGTCCATCAGAACATGAGTGTGTGAAATACTATAGAGATCACCTTGAATTCACTCTTTTTGTTTTTTGTTTTTAAAGATTTTATTTATTTATTTGAGAGAGAGAGTGAGAGAGAGAAAGAGTACAAGAGGGGGGAGCGGGAGAGGGAGAAGCAGACTCCCTGCCGAGCAGGGAGCCCGATGCGGGACTCGATCCCGGGACTCCAGGATCATGACCTGAGCCGAAGGCAGTCGCTTAACCAACTGAGCCACCCAGGCACCCTCTTTTTGTTTTTTTTTAAGTAAATTATTTCTAGCACAGTTATTGGGTGGCTCAGTCGTTAAGCGTCTGCCTTCGGCTCAGGTCATAATCCCAGGGTCCTGGGATCGAGCCCCACATCGGGCTCCCTGTTCAGTGGGAAGCCTGCTTCTCCCTCTCCCACTCCCCCTGCTTGTGTTCCCTCTCTCGCTGTGTCTCTCTGTCAAATAAATAAATCTTTAAAAAAAAAAAAAAAAAAGAATAGCACAGTTAAGTAAATTATTTCTGTTCTATTCCTGGCAACGTGACAGACTGGAGATCTTGAAGTCTTCCCACATCGTAACACTTAATTATGTTTAGTAACTATTCAAAAACATCCTTTTACATGACTGGATGAGCCTGCAAGACAAAAAGGGACATGTGCTAAACACAAGAGCAAAGAAGAAGATGGACTAGGAAGGTCATCAAGCACTACAGTCACTGGATAGAGGGATACTGGACCAGATAGCCTAATGGTTAGGCCACAGGGGAATAAGGGACGAGTGTTGGGTCTGAACAGGTAAAGAACCCAACTGAAGACCATCTCCAAAAAAATGCAGACCTGAGAAGGGCCATACTCTCAGGGAAAGAGTGAATCAGGAAGAAAAATACCCATCTCTCAGAGAACAGTGAGAAAAAGTGTCTGTCTCAACTTTGACTTTGTGCAGATATTTTATAAAAAGCATTCCAGGGGGGGTGAGGGTCTAAAAAAAAAAAGCATTCCCAACTTTGGAATCTATACTACTTGTGTGGTCCTAAAAACTGTATGTTTAGAATCATAATTTAAAGTGGACCAGGTCTCCAGTGTCTATCAGAGGTTAACATAAATCTTCTCCAGAAGAACACACTCGAAAACCAGGCATCAAAGTAGTCCTGCAGCTAGAGGTCCAATAAATATGAGTGCAAAATTAAAAATTACAAAACACACAAGGAAGTAAGGTACTATGAAAAAAAGTCAAGAGAAGCCCACACAAATAGTATCAGATCTGTAAAGACTTTAAGATTTATTTATTTGAGAGAGAGAGTGAGAGAGAGCATGAGTGGGGGGCAGGGAGACGGAGAAGCAGACTCCCCTGCTGAGCAGGGAGCCCGATGTGGGACTCGATCCCAGGATCCTGAGATCATGACCTGAGCCAAAGGCAGACACTTAACCGACTGAGCCACCCAGGCGCCCCAAGACTTTAGATATTGGAATGTGAGCTACATTTTTTAAAGTGTGTTTAATCCACTTAAAATAATAAAGAGGTGGGCGCCTGGGTGGCTCAGTTGGTTAAGCGACTGCCTTCGGCTCAGGTCATGATCCTGGAGTCCCGGGATCGAGTCCCGCATCGGGCTCCCTGCTCAGCAGGGAGTCTGCTTCTCCCTCTGACCCTCCTCCCTCTCATGCTCTCTCTATCTCATTCTCTCTCTCAAATAAATAAATAAAATCTTTAAAAATAATAATAATAATAATAATAAAGAGGAGACTGAAAACATGAGTTAGGGGCAAGAGACTATATAAAAATGGCCAGAAAGACTTGAAAAAGAATTAAAAGAATATTTAGAAATGAAAAAATAAAGGTGTGCCTAAGTGGCTCAGTTGGAGAAGCGTGCAACTCTTAATCGCAGGGTCGTGAGTTTGAGTCCCACATTGGGTGTAGAGATTACTTAAATAAAGTTTAAAACTTATATTATTTTTTAAAGATTTTATTTATTTGACAGAGAGAGTGGGAGAGCACAAGCAGGGGGAGCTGCAGAGGGAGAAGCAGGCTCCCAGCTGAGCAGGGAGCCCAATGCAGGGCTCAATCCCAGGACAATGGGATCATGACCTGAGCCGAAGGCAGACACTTAACCAAATGAGCCATCCAGGCGCCCCTAAATTTAAAAACTTTAAAAATATATATGAGTTAAAATTTTGAAACTCAATATGCAATACATAATAAACAATAAATAGCAATTTAGACATAGCTAAAGAGAGATTTAGTGAACTGGAAGATAGATCTGAAAATTACACAGAATGGAATACAGAGAAACAGAAAGATGAGAAATATTAAAAAGAAGTTAAGAAGTATAGAAGATGTGGGGTGCCTGGGTGACTCAGTCAGTTAAGCATCCAACTCTTGATCTCAGCTCAGGTCTTGATCTCAGGATCATGAGTCAAGCCCCGCACTGGGCTCTGCACTGGGCATGGAGCCTACTTAAAAAAAAGGGGGGGGGGTGCACCTGAATGGCTCAGTCGGTTAAGTGGCTGCCTTCAGCTCAGGTCATGATCCCAGGGTCCTGGGATCGAGCCCCACATCAGGCTCCTTGCTCAGCAGGGAGCCTGTTTCTCCCTCTGCCTGCCTGATGCTCCCCCTGCTTGTGCTCTCTCTCTCTCTCTCTGTGTCAAACAAATTTTTAAAAAATCTAAAAAAAAAAAAAAGTATGGAAGATAGAATGAGACAGTCCAACATACATTTGATAAAAGTTTTTAAAAGAAATAATAGAGGGAGCTGGGTAAGACAATATTCAAAGAAACAGTGCTAAAAATTATCCAAAATTAGTAAGAGACATAAATCCTTCAATTCAGGAAAACAAAGAAATCCCAAGCCACATCCAGGGTCACCTGGGTGGCTCAATCAGTTAAGTGTCCGACTCTTGATTTCAGCTCAGGTCATGATCTCAGGATTGTGAGATTGAGCCCTGTGTTGGGCTCCACAGTGGGTGTGGAGCCTGCTTGGGATTCTCTCTCCCTCTCCCTGTGCCCCTCCCCTAAATACATACATACATACATACATACATACATGCATACTCGTATCTACACAGATGATGATACTACAGAACACCAAAGACAGAGAGAAACTGTAAATGAGTCAGAGGAAAGGACTGGCAATTAATCACCATCACATAACTACTTCCCAGAACTAGGAGCCAAGTGACAATGAAATAAAATTTTCAAAGTACTAAGAGAAAATATCTGACATCTTAGATTTGAATAACCAACAATACTCTCTATTTGTTAAAATAGGGACATTTTCTGATAAACAGAAAGTGATTATACCAACAGAAGACCTTCAGTAGAGGGGCCTCTCTAAGCAAGGATATACTTCAAAAGGAAAAGTAATTACCCCAGAAGGAAGATCTGAGAAGAAAGAACAGAAGATAAATAAATGATAAAGATATGGCTAAGTCTAAACAATACTGATGGTATAAATGAACAATACTACTACGTAATTTGTGAGGTTAAAAAACATACTACAGAATTACTATAGCTTACTACGATCCCACAGAAACTGAAAGAGGGCATCCAGAGGTATTTGTGACTCATTAGCAGAAATGGAAATCAAGATTAAGACAAAAGTCTGTGAATAGATTTTGTGTGTATACACTAAAATTAGTACATGATACTTAGTCATATATTTATTTAGACAAAAGATTTCTAACTGGTTCCATTAGCATTTGAAAGTCATAAACTTATACCAGCTATAACCTGCTTATTTAAAAGGGTCACACTCCTTTTTATGTAATGTGACTTTT